GAGAGAGAGATAGAGCAGGAGCACAAGCAGGGGGAGTGGGAGAGGGAGAAGCAGGCTTTCTGCCGAGCAGGGAGCCCGACGTGAGGCTCGATCCCAGGACCCTGGGACCATGACCTGAGCCGAAGGCAGACGCTTAACGACTGAGCCACCCAGGCGCCCCGCAAAGAATGATCTTATCCTTATTCTTTTATAAGTGTGTACTTAAGAAAAACTCCCAGAAAGATAAAAGATGAACGTATCTGTCCTTCAGAGATTCTTAAATCCTTACCTTCTCACTCATTCCCTTCGTCACCAGCACAGTGTTGTGTCTAGATCACCAGATAGCTTCCCTGCTGGCTATCATTGCTAGATTCACCTTTCCAAAATCACTCTTGGATGTATTCATCTGCCTGCTGGAAAATCTCCAGTCATCCTCCTTGTCTACCAAATAAGTCACAAACTCCTTAGCCTGTATATAAAACCCACCGTGGTCTGCCAACGTACCCTCCTCTTCAGGTTCCTCTTAACAGTGTGCCCTTGGCTAGACAGCCTGCCCACTGCTTTCTAGACACACGCTGTGCTCTCATCCCTCCAGGCCTTGTTCTTCACCAGAAGTGCTCACCCTTTCTGAATACCCAAACCCTGCCCCTTCTTTAAGGGTCTTCTTGAATGGCACTTCCCGCCTGAGTCTATCACTTACCACCTCAGCCAGAAGTAATTCTACCCAACTTACCCAAAGCCCTGTATTTAAATCAATTACGTGGCATTTGCCTTATGGTGACTTCTACCATAACTATGTCTGTGTGTGGCTCACCTTCCACACGACGTTGTGACTTCTTTGAAGGCAAAGACTATGCCTTCTGTATGTTGTATTTCCCACAGTGCTCTTTATGGTTTTGCAAATATTTAAGTCCCTCAGTAAATACTCACTGGAAGACCGTTTATTGAGAGAAATCAGCCTTTTGGCTTGACCCCCACCCCCAGGGCTGGAAAAGGCTCACAGGGAAATGAGGCAAGAAGGTCTGATGGCTATAAAACACACACACACACACACACACACACGCAGCGAGGCATGAACACGCACAGACGCATCCATCCTGCCTACACAGAAGGCTGGCTCATAAATTCTGTCCATTTTAAAGCACTTGAGGATTAATGACAACAAAACTAAGTGGAACTCGGCAAGCACTTCATCCCTCTTGGAGGTTTGTGATTTTTCAAGGCTTAGGTTGTTTTATTCCATGGACCATAGACTTAAAAAAAAGTTACAGGGAAAGACTGGGTAAGTACTATAGCTGAAATAAGAGGTTATTCTCAAGAAAAGGTCACAATCATAATCTACTCTGGAAAAACGCTAGGTTAGGTTTCACAAAGTCTGGCTTCAGGGGCGCCTGGGTGCCTCAGTCGTTAAGCGTCTGCCTTTGGCTCAGGTCATGATCCCGGGGTCCTGGGATCTAGCCCCGCGTCGGGCTCCCTGCTCAGTGGGGGTCTGCTTCTCCCTCTCCCACTCCCCCTGCTTGCTGCTTCCCTATTTGTGCTCTCTCTGTCAAATAAATAAATAAAATCTTTAAAAAACAAAACAAAACAAAAAAACCTTTGTGCTCTATATTCCCCAAATAGCAAGGTCTGTATCATTAAAAAAAAAAAAAAAAAAGAAAGAAAAGAAAGAAAGAAAGTCTGGGTTCAAGGGTGGATACTGTTCTATGACATAGGCATTTTGTCTCATCAGAGAGGCATTTTTTCCCACCTAGAAAAAACAAACAAATCTTCCTGTAGGCATTTTTTCCCACCTAGAAAAAACAAACAAATCTTCCTGTAAAAGGAAAACATTTTTTCCCCTCCAACATGCCACCCCAACTGTGGTTCTCCACTCGTGTGGCAGGAAGAACTGTGAATCAGAGAAAAAAGGATGGTGTTCTCATCATCTTCTGTGATATAACCTGTTTGCCTATCTTGACCCAACTTGGAATCTAACTGGAAAAGTAAAACTCAGAGTCCATCTGTGATTGTTCATGGAACAGGCTGATTTCAGAAGATGAGGACCAACTTCCTTCCACAGACCTACCACGATAATCTCTCCACACACAGGGAGGCAGCCTCTGGCCGAGCCCAGGCTCGGGCCGGTGTCCCCCACAAACACTGGCGGTGCCTTCTCCAGTTCAAGCTGCCATCACTGCAAGGCTCAAGTTCAGCAAAAATCTCCGAGGCAGCCTCGCTGAATCTGGGCTCTCTTGGGGCTCAAGAAGTGTACTTGTCGGTGCCGAACCAAGCACCCATGATTTGCCAACTATCAAATCCACAGGTCTCTCTTCGGCCTTCCCGTCATCCGAACTCTCTCTGAAACTGCTGGAACCACACTGCACTTCTTTTGGAAACCCCTTCTCTTCCCTGACACGGCCCCTCCTGGTCCTCCTGCCCCTCTGCTGGCTCTGCTTCCACGGCCTTCCCGATGCTCTCATTCTCCCCTCTTCTCTCCTCTGCCCTCCTTCCCTCTCTGCTTTTGCCGATGAAGTTCATCCACTCTTTTGGCCTCAGCTTGCCCCTATGTGTGGATCCCTCCCAAACTGACATCCTTGCCCAGCTCTGGCTCCACTTTCCACTTTTCCTACCGAATATCTCACCATGACGCTCCATGGCCACCTCCCACTGGCAATGATCCGGCCTGTCTGGAACCAAACTCAGCGGCTTCTCCTCCCTGCCCCCCCATCAGCCTCCTCTTCCTCTTCAGCTCCCTATTTCAGCGGCCCATCCAGGTCAAGCCCTATTCCATCCAGCTCTTCCCTCAGCTTCTCACCCCGTATGTAATTGCCCACTACATGTCACCAATTCTGCGTGTCATTTCTGCCGCATTCCAACTGCCATGGCCAATGCCTCCAGCGACTCTTGTCTGGCAGGATAATGGCCCAACTGCTCTGCACCTCTACTTTTTCTATCAGACCAACCCATCCTCCAGAGTTTCTCACTTCACAACATAAGTTTGATCATGTCACCACCTCACTCAAAATCTTTTAATAACTCCCAAATTCCTTGATACCTGGGCCCAGATTAATTTTCTGGTCCCATTGCCGGGCAAGACCCATCTGTCCTGAGATGTCTTCTGTTCTACCCTAACCTCGTGGGTACACAGTGTTCTGTGTAAGGAGTTTCATAGAGTCCCTCTCACCTCCCACTCCTCGGATCAACACATGCAGAGGGCCAACTCTGGGTTCTCTACCCCCTTGAAATCTACTTGGCAAACTTATCCTGGTCCTTCAAAGAGAAGACAAATTTTACCTTCTCTCTGCTGCCTTCCTGACCAGTGGCAGAACCCCTGATCTGCCTCATTTGTTTCCCCAGAACTGTGTCCCTGCATCTATGATAATCTGTCCCCTCCTACTCTAAGATCTCTGTATGTTTCCAGAGGGCAGGGACTAGCAGTCTTGATTCATACACCATGTGTGTCTAGCACAGTGCCACCAGACTTCTCACGTTTAAAGGGCTAAAATGGCACAAAGCTAAATTTATACTCTTATGAAGGCAGTGAGTGTATGAGGAGATCAGCCTGAATGAAACAGAGAAATTCCAAATGGAGAATAATGTAGCTCCATTAGAAGAAGATTTTCTTTTGCTGAAGGCCTTCCTGATGTCCCTTAAATCTCACAGACAAGTGGTAGCCTGTTCTGCCAGGAAGTGAGGACCCCTCCTCTCCTTAGCCATGTCGGCCTTCTCTCGGAACACAACAGATATGTGCTTAAGGCCTGGAAGAGCCCCAATGCAACCTCACTGTGGCCCACTGCTTCACCGCCCCCAGCGTCAACCACTCACGGGCTTGCCACATCAATGGCCAAAGGAATCTAAAGTTTCATTAAAAACATGAGCTCAAAAGGCCCCAAGGAGCCCTAAGAAGGAACACATATTCTGAGGTTAACAGAATTATAAATTACAGAGGTTAATAATAAATTGAATTCCATTTTAACTTTCTCAAGCTCTGATTTCTGATATCTAGGCTCCTTATGGCCGAGGTATATTGGTTCCCTTCCCCTGTAGCCCTCAAACCTTCTCAGGCCCTTAAATCACTTACCTGTTAGGTAAGCTAGGCCCTACCTGAAGACCCAGGTCCAAGGGGTACTTGAAGAAGTCCTAGGCCAGTGGCTCAGTTCTATCAAGCAGTGACATCTGCTGATCCATACTGTGTACTAGAGACTGTATTAGGTTATAGGGGAGACCTAGTCCCTGCTCTCAGGGAGCTTCTGTTTCAGAGACAGAGGCGTATAAACAAAGCACATGTGAATGTGTACAAAGAGATCCATGGCAGAAGTGTGTGTAGTTCGTGCAGGACGGCCCAGCTGGTCACAGGCACGAAGCCCTGAGCTGACCCTATCCTTAGTTCCAGAGATATGTTCTGGCCTCAGTCCATCTGAACAAATATTTACTGAGCCTCCACGGCCAAGTTCCTGCCCTCATGGATCTTACACTTGGTCTTCAGTGTTAGCAAATGCCTCCCGATCTTGTTCTTCTGTACAGAATACCTTCCAGAAAGCACCATTTCTCTAGGATGAGGGCTTGGTCTTTTTCTCAGCCAGACCTTCCAGGAACTTGAGTTCTGTACACAGAATTCAGGTCCTATTACTGGGACACTCGCCCTGATGCTGAGTGTACATACCTGCCTGTCCTTCCCCTGTGGACCTGTGGCTGGAACTTCTCTTATTGTCCTGGGCCCACTGTATCTCCTTGCCCTCATCTGTAAACTATGGACAATAACAGTATCTCCCTCCAAGGGGTATTATGAGGACTGAAGGAGACTAGCTTGGTACATGCTAAGCATTCAATAAATTAGCTATCATCATTATCTTTATTTCTAAGATCCCTGCCACACTGCCTGCCTCATCCATGGACTTTCCCGCCTCTTGCTGAGGTGTGAGTTGGGGGCAGGAAGGGCCCTCCCCCCCACCGCCGGTCATCCCCACCCCCATGCTTGTAGGTTGGCTTAGTTTGGCTCTCACGGGCTGGCCCACCCAGACCCAGTGGGGGAATCCATGTACCTCTCAGTGTCAGGTAGCCGTAAGCCAGGCTGGCCACAGCCTGTGCACATTTCCAGTGTTCTTCCCCAAAAATAATCCGAGAAAGGATGACACAGCGAATCAGCTCCTTGTTTGCTTGGGTATTCTGCAGAGTGCAAAGACGTTATTATGCTTTTTGGAAAGGAGGGAAAGCTCTAGCCCAGGCTCTTCTCACAGGAAATATAGGACTGAATTCACCTGTCGTCGTTTTCTCTTCTCCCCCCTTCCCATTCCATGACCAATCCAGCAAGGCCTGGTAGCTGTCCCTTACTCCTAAGTCCTCACACTAAGCTCTGCCCCTCACTTCTGCCATGAGTACCTGATTCAAACCACCGTCACCTTTCACCCAGCTGTGACCACAAGAGCCGCTTCTAACTGCTCCCACTCTTGCACCCCGCCCCCGGTCTACTCTCAACATCATAGCCAGAGTGACTTCCTTTAACCTTTTATTGTGAAAAACTTTAGCAATATACAAAAATAGCATGGAGAAGGGCTCACTTAGTTTCATGAGGTATCTACTCATGGTCAATCTTGTTTCATATCTATCCCCCGCATCCACCCACCCTATTATTTTGAAGAAAAATCAGATATTAAATCATTTCATATCTCATAAGTATCTCCCAAAGATATGGACTTAGACATATAACCAGAAAGCCACTCTCACCAAAATATTAATAATTCTGTAATATTAAATATCTAGTCTCATAAATCTAATAATTACCTCATAAATCTAATTTTTTTTTTTTTTTACAGTCTGCCTGTCCATATGTTGAGATCAGTCTCCTGAGTCTCTTTTCATCTATAGGTTCCGCTTCCAACTCTAGTCATTATCCAAACTGGCCAAGGAGTTGTCAAGCCTTAAAAACCCACACTTGTACTCGATGGCAGATGGTACTTGTCTGTTTCTAAAAGCGAAGGTTCTAGCCCGGGTCTGTGAAATATGAATGGGTACAGGCCAAGATGACTGTCCTCTGCAAGTCCTCTGGATGATTTACAGAGGTAAATTTATAGATCTATCCAATTAGGGGTATCAACTTCTATCATCTGCCTGTGAGGTGTCTCTTGGCCTTTCCTAAAGCCATCTACAGACCTTTCCTCTACACATTTTAAGCTCATTTTTCCCTGGCCAGGAAGTCAGTGTATGAATTCCTCAGTGGATAAATCATGCTCCAGGAACATGCTGGTGCCTGTGTTCTAATAATGAAGGTCACTGTCATCCTATCTCAGGCTCCCGGATTTTGAACATTCTATTAATAGCACTTGCTCTGAGGTCCTAGTTACCAAGTCTTTGCCTCGCTCTGAGAAATGCACCTCTGGACTCTGACCTCTGTTGCAACCTTCCCTTTCTGGTGCTCTAGTTTGCTTATGAGTCCACTGAACCACTGGCATCTGAGCCTGGGCCTCAGCCTGGCTACCCTTGTTCTCAGCCTCCTGCCTCACTAACCTGGCCTTCTTGTTACCCAAGGGATCTCATTCTGAAACATTTCAGGAGAAATTTAAAAAAAAAATTTTTTAAATTAAAGGTAATCAAACATCAACACAAAGAACAAAACATTCATTTTCAGTTTAAAGCCAGGAGCACAAACCCTCCATGGAAGAATGCACAGTGACCCAGGTGTGGAACCCGAAGGCAGCGTGGCTGCCCCACTATGCTCTGCCTTGTTTTCTTCTGCTTATAAAGAAATATAACAACTTCCCCTACTTTGAGTACTTCAGTGTCCACTGAAGGCAGAGCTTCTGTCATCTTGGACATATTTTTAAAGGGAAATTAAAACCTCGTGGGCTTTTTGTTTTACCATTTTTTTCTTAATCAGCTGAGCTATTTTCTTCCGGGATTGGGCCAATTTCTCTTTAGGAAGAGACATGAAGCCTATGGTCTTCTCCTCCTTGGCTGTAGTGTCTTCTTCACTCTCTCCAGACCCACTAGAGGAACACAATTCTTCTCTTCGCTGGTATGCTGGGATCTCGGCTTGCTGAGACCTGCAGATACCAGAGAGGGACGTGGATTCAGATTTGACCTCTGTGTATCTCAAACCAGTTAAAGTTGAAGAACAAATGGGGGGTAGGGATATGCGCTCAATCAGAAACTTGAAGGAATAAAGTCTGGGGATAAGCTCGCATCCCCCTTGAAGCCCAGAATCAGGACAGCAATGTGGTGATTCAAACGAAACAGATTTGTTAAACCACCCACCTCCCTCAGAGTCCCAGCTCTGCTACTCACTAACCATATGACCCTAGGCAAGTTATTATTTGTTTCTTTGTAAAATGAGGTCAATCAGAGGAGGTGACTGGATTAAATCAGATAATACTCATAAATCACTTAGCATCGTGCCTGCTATTTAGTAAGTACTATTTTAATATTAGCTATTATTATTTTATTAGCTCCAAAACGAAGGTGTTGAATTGGAAGGTCTCAAAGATCTTTTTCATTCTGAAATTCTGATCCAAACCAGGAAAGAAAATCGATACAATGAAATAATGGGAAGGGAATTAACAGTTTGAGGCCAGACTTCACTGTCCTCTTTCATATTTCTTAAAAGTATTGGCCAACTAACTAAGGAGGATGTGGTCCCAATAAGGAGAGGGGAGGGAACTCCACAAAGTCAAGAGCAGATTCAGAAGCAAAATGGCCTTCTCAGTTGTATTAGAAATAAATGTGTTGAAAAAAAAGCTGAGTGGATTGAAAATCTCCCTACTCTCCACTTGCTTCTCTCCCTCCTGCCTCCTCTCTCCCTCCCACCCCTCAGGCCCCCCTCTCCTTCCTGCCCCCTCTACTGTCTCACATGCACAATGTAGATCTCTGGCTTCAATGCTGAACATGATTATGAATGGGTAATTGGAAATGGTAAGGATAAAAGTCAAAGGAGGTAATCTTACACAAAAAAGACAGAACCACATCTTAACATTGCCAGAAAAATCAAAGTGATCCAGAAAAAACAGAATTCTGAAATCTTAAGAGCAGAACAGAATGTTTAATTATAAACAAGTCTCCCAAAGGAATCACCTTTGTATATACAATTTTAAAAGTTGTACAACTTTTAAAAGTTCAACCACTACATAGTTTTAAGAATAACATTTATCTTCCTTTTCCACTGATTAGATAAGTAATAAATATTCACTGTAAAAAAAAAAAGAGCAGAAGAAAAACAAATGTCAAGTGTAATCTTTTACACTAGGTTTGAGAAATGACATGTTAACATCCATCCAGACTTCCTGTTCTAAATAACCTACCCAGAGGCACACGAGCAAACCAGGTCACGTGGACAGGACAGCAACATTTCTTCAGGCCCAGGCCTGGCAAAATCACCTTCTGCCCCCATACAGAAGTGTGCTTTCAGAAGACATGCAAACTCTGGAAAAGCCAGAGAACATGGCTGATGCAAGGTGATCAGAAGGTAGGTGCTAAGCTTACCTCCTCTCTGCCTGGTGAGTTAATGCTCCTCCTTCAAGACCCAACTCAGATGTCACCTCTGCTGGAGTTGTCACCTCTGCTGGAGTCCCATACTAAAGTAGCAAGTAGAGACACCCTCCAAAGGACTTGCAAAAATTTCCTCCAAACTTCTACTATAGTGCAAATCACATTATAGTCACGTTTTCAAAATTCCTTTGTTTTGTTTCTGAGTCGTCTTTGCCTTCTAGCAAATAAACTGCACCAGGGCCGGGGCTAAATCTCATTTATTTCTGAAACCCTGATACCTGGCTTACAGTAAAGATAAATAATGGCTTGTTAAGTGATGCACAAATGAGTGAAAAAAGAAAACATAGTCTTTAGGACACTTGAAAGAAAACATAGTCTTTAGGACACTTGAAAAATACTGAAGGTAGAGGGAATCTGTGGCAAAAGATCCTAAGTCAAGAAAACTAACAGAAAATTTAGTCCCTCAATAGAAGATTTTGCTTAGGCTGCATATTTCAAAGACCTGGAGCAGAAGTTCAATCTACTGGGATCACCAAGGAGATTGCCAATTATGGATCTTAAAAATTATAAGCCCTAAATATTTTAAGTTCAGCCTTCAATAAAATTAAGCTGAGACCAAAAGTAGCAAGCTTCAACAACAGCGACCTCAAAGCAAGGAGAAACATTGAGGTCTTGACAAATGACTTGAGAATGCAAAGACCTAAACTAGCTTTGAACATTTTGTCATGAAAGATTAGAAAAATGACTGGAGAATACTGACCAGTCAGATTTCTTGAAAGATAAAATAATAGTCAGAATAAAAAGAATAGGCAGGTTGAATGAAAGGTCTGTCTTGCCAGGTTTACAACTTATTCTATATATTGCCATCATAAATATGAATTCAGACTAGTAATAATAAATATGTATTATCTGATTACTTCCAAGATACTCCACTGTGAACACTACATCTTAACTTCAATTTTTAAAGTTATACAACCCTTAACCTCAGGATATTTTATGAGGCGGTACAAAACTACTAAAATTAAGCACATGAAATGTGGCTAATCTGAATTGAGATGTGCTATAAGTATAAAATACACACTGAATTTCAAAGACTTAGCATGAAGAAAAAATATAAAATATTTCACTACTTATTTTTTAAAATATTCCAGATATATTAAGATAAATATAGTATTAAAATTCAATTTACCTATTTTTTATTTTTTAATATGGCTACTGGAAAATTTTAAATTACATATGTGGCTGGCATTTGTGACCTGCATTATATTCCTATTTGATAGCATTGCAATAGATCAATGGTTCTCAATGAAGGGTGATATTGGCCCCAGGGGACATTTGGCAATGTCTGGAGACATTTTGGTTTGTCATTACTGGGACAGTGCTACTGGCATCTACTGGGTAGAGACCAGAAATGCTGCTAAACATCCTACAATGCATAGGTCAGCCTTCTACAACAAAGAGTTAGCCAACCCAAAATGTCAATTGTGCCAAGGTTGGGAAACCCTGGTATAGAAAAATGGTTGAAGAATTGACTCTGCAATCCGGCCGCCCAGTTTGAATCACTAGCTGTGGGATTTGGGGCCAATTACTTAACCTTTTTTTGATTCATACTCCTTAGTTATAAAATTATAATAGTATAAGAGTACTACCAGTACAGGGGTGTTGGGGCAATAGATGACTTCATGTAAGTACTTAGAACAGTGCCTGGCACAAAGTATTTGCTCAATAACTATTAGCTATTATGATGTGAAAGTTTTACTTATTGTCTCTTTATTTCATAAAACAATTTTAATTTACTCATTATCTTTGTTATATTTAATTCTCCATGACTTTCTCAATCTTGGTATAATTAACCTATCTATAAAAAATAAAATTTCCCTTCAGTTAGGAAAAAACAATTATGTTCCTTCTCGCATAGGTTGCACAATTACAAATGGATTGTATAGCAGAATCGTTATTCCAGGCCAGTGACTGTGATGTCAAGGTTCTGTGGTACTTACAGGTGGAAGCAGAAATTCCAGTCGGTGTCATTGCTGACAGTTGGAATGTGGATGGGGCTGGCTTGCATCTTCGTCCTACCAAGAATCACAAGTCAGGTTGGCTTTGGGAAAAAAAAAAAAGGCTTAGAAGCCTTCTATTTTCCCTCTGTTGGATGCTATTAACATTAAACTGAAACTGCCCAAATACATAACCCATCTGAAATCCATAAATAGACTATCCTCACTCATGTATAAAGACACGTAGAAGGCAAAAATTAAAGGCATTTGCCAAATTAAACCTCTGAATTAAATTTCTTTCCCCTAATTCCTACTCGAGTACCTCCAAAATCCCTGACTTTTTTTTTTTTACACCCTTAAAGCCAGTATATTTACAGCTCCCGAATCATCAAAACTATGTTCTCCTACTCAAGTCAGATATTGTTTTTGCGGGATGGATCCAAGCAAAGCAACCAGTTCTAAGCATTAAATGAAGTATAGCCATCGTATTGGTTAATTCTTCTCTTTGTCCCTAGGGCCATCCCACTATTTAATATGAGGTACTAGTTAAGGAACACACAGCGTCCGTTTGGGTATTGTCCTTAGCTGAGGGGGAAAATGACTGAAATCTCATGACAAACATCTGATTTATAATTATTTGTGAAATTCAATTCTCATGGCTCTCCCTTTAAATCAAATCTAAATCGAATGCACGGTTATGCACTGAACATGAACACCCACCAAGTCGCTCCTCATTTCACCCTGCAGAATGTCATTCCTTCCCATCTGAGCCCTGAGTAGCTCTCGCTGACACAGGCTCCAGCACATCCACAATCCAAACACCAGAGGATTAATTTCTCTTTCTAATCTCTACTTTCAAAACTATGGCCAGGGAGAGGCGTTTTGAGTTCCCAACCTCCTAAATTCTGTTCTATGAGGTGCTATACGGCTCTGAATAAATCAGAATACCAAACTTTGGCCCCTCTCTCAAACTCAAATCGCTTCCTTCTTCCTTTCACCGCAACTTCGTAAACCCTGAGCCACATCCTGAGCCCCAAGTGAGCACCCTGAGGCTTCTTTCTTGCGGGTGGTGCCACAGAGGCTCCAACTCGAAAAGCACAGGCGGGGAGCAGCGAGGTAGGGGTTGGGCCGCCCACCTGGCCAAGGGCAGAGAAGCCACGCCCCGGAACTAGCCCTGCCGGCTCTCTCAGCCGGAGAGCTCGGCTTCCTCGCGCGGCGTCGGCGTCCGGGCCTCGGCGGACTTCGTTCAGGGCGCCGCACAGGTGCCCGGCGGAAGCGAGGCTCTCCGCGCGGTCGGCCAGGCGCGCGCGCAGCCCGCGTTCCTGCTCGGGAGACAATGGGGTTGCCATGGGAACGGAACGCCGCTCCCAAACCGGGAGCGTCGGCGCCTGTAGCCATGGCGACGCGGGGCACTTCCGGCCCCGGAAAATCCCCGGGCCACTCCCGGGCGCTTCTGCAGGACCCTTGGGCTTTCCGGTCTCCGCGGGCGTGACTCGCTCAGCCTCAGGCTCGTCCCCAAACACCCCTCTGCTGCGGTTGCGTCGTCACCTGTTGTTTTTCGGAAGGACTTTAGCTCTCAGGCATGAAGATGCTGGAAGAGGAGAGAAATCCCATCGCAGGATGGAAGAGGGCGCCGGGCTCCAGGACCCCACCTACTTAAAGCTGCGGCGTACTGGACTAAAGGGGCGCGCGATTGGGCGCCCCTCCGCGCACCCTGCACCCCCGAAGTCCCCCGGGTGTTCTGGCTCTCCGGACTGGAGAGGAAAGGCTCAGATGTAACTGTTGATGGTGTCAGCACCGTCTGTGTTTCCTCTCCCGGTAAGATTTGAGCTATGCTTGATCAGGAAAGCGGAGTGCCCGAAATGAGTACTTTAAGGAATGGACCACTAGTTCTACTACTGATTAGCAGTTCCAACAATATTTTCGAGGAATGGGGCACATTTGGCAAACACCGCATATATGGTGTTTATGCAGCATGTATTCTTATACCATTCCTCTTCAGGAGCCTGAAATACACAATGATAACAATAATTCAGATCTGACAGGTGCAGGGCAGTTGGGGCCAGTACCCAAACCAACAGCACCCGATCCGCAGCCTTGTGCAGAAGGGTGTTATCACAAACCCTACGGTGAAAAAGGGGCCTATGACAAGTCAAGTTGAAGATGGTATGTCCTCGTTTTAAAAAAACAAAAGGGGGGAAAAAGCAGGTTTGGTAGAGAAGGAAAATATTTACTAAGAATTTGAAAGGTGGTGTTTACATTTGGTGTTTGTTCTTTCCAGTTCCAGGTTGAAGTTTGCTATTGATCCAAGAATGCCAAGATAGACTTTTCTGCAGTTAGTTTGGAGGAGCTATTTAAATGAGTTTGCTTCTCTTAAGTGAAACCTGAACCGCATTTTAACTTAAGGTTTAAATCTGTACCCTCAAGATCCTGTGCCAAAATTTTAGAAGGATCCCACCCCCTTTATTCTGTTCCCTAAGAGAACTCCCAACATGGAACAAGGATGAGAGCAATGAACTCCGCTTCAAGATTTCAGGGCTCTGGTTTTGACTCTGTGTGGAGTCTCAGTTTTCTTGCTCATACAATGAGAGTATTTGTTACCACTTGCTTTCTACAACCCCTCCCAGTTCCCAGGATTCTCTGGTGGCAAACCACAGATTTTTGTGACTCTATGAACAATATTTAACACATATGGGGATAAAAAGGAAGAACTGGTTTCCTGTTCTCTAACACTGATTCCCCTTACCCTTGTTAAGTTGGTCTTCATCAAATTGAAAAGTTTTAATGTTTTCATTTTAGGAATTGGCTGGGAGGTTGTTTCTAAGTATATGAAATGTAACTTCTGGTTCCTGAACACCAGCTTCTGCCCATCATTGTGAAGTGAGGTACTAGAACAGGCACTGAATTCCCATTCTAAAAATGACAGTCTGGTTCCAACTCCGTTTAATTAGCTTTGACCTCGGGGTGCCTGGGTGGCTCAGTCAGTTAGGCGTCTGCCTTCAACTCAGGTCATGATCCCAGAGTCCTGGGATCGAGCCCCACGTCAGGCTCCCTGCTCAGCAGGGAGTCTGCTTCTCCCTCAGGCCCTCCTCCCTCTCGTGCTCGCTCTCTCTCACTCCCTCTCTCTCAAATAAATAAATAAAAGCTTTAAATAATAATAATAATAATAGTTAGCTTTGACCAGAAACAATTCACCTGTAAAATTAGAAGTCAAATTAAAAAAATGTTAAACTCTCAGAGTTCCAAACCTGTGTGCTGTTTTTTTCCCTTTCCTTGCCGTATTCACCCTGTCCCCAAACATAAACCTTAGTTACAGGTAAATGTGCTTTAGGTTTGTTCAATAACTCTGGAATGGGATGCTAGTAATCTTGCTTTTATAGTGTGTGTTCACTCACACAGTCCCTCCCTTGATCCTGAGGTAGAAGAAACAAGCACTGCTATTGCAGAATCACATAAAGGAAGCATGTGTACAGGGTACTTCTAGATTCTTCCATCCCCAAATAAACAGATTATTTTAACTGCAAGAACTGTGAAACTTAAGGACAAGGAAATCAACTAAACTTTCCTTTGGACTGTGTAATTTCTTAAAACACATTTTCTGTCCTCTTAAGACAAGGTTAGATACCTTATTTCTGAGCTCCCATACCATCCCATCCACAGTCTCATCTTGACGCTCACAATTATATTGGCACTTTGTGAGTTTCTCACACTCCCCATTCATCTGTCCATCCCTCCAGAAAAAAAAAAAAAAATGCATATTGAAGAATATGTGCTATGTGCCCAATACTGTTCTAAGCATTAGGGAAGCAATAGTGAGCAAACAAAGATTTTGCTCTTCTGGAGCTTCTATTCTACTAGGTGAAGAAAAGTAGAGTTACTAGTAAATAGTCTGATGTCTCTGCAAGTTAGAAAAAGGCACAGGGCCAGGGGAATAAGCAACAACTTTGTGTGAATTAGAAAAACAAAAAACCAAAAACCTCTTCCTCCAGCCAGACTCAGACCCCTGCTAAGGGGAACAGAGTGTGGGCTGGATTTTAGGACTCCCTCCCTCCCTCAGCTGGGTGAACCACCTTACATGGAAGTGACAAATTAGAGAAAAATAAAGCCAGATAAAGGATCTAGAAAGTGATGTGGACATCACTTATCTAGTGTAGTTAAAGAGGGCCTCTCTGACAAGGTGGCACTGAGCAGAGGAAATGAAGGAGCAAATATACAAACATCAAATTAAAGAACATTCTAACATAACAGCAAGTACAAAAGCCCTGAGACAGGAGCAAGTTCAGTGGGTTCAAGGAAGAACAAAAAGGCAATTAAGAATGAGACAGAAGAATGGGTCAGCAAAGGAGCAAAGCACACAGGGTCCTCTAGGCCATCCATTCATCTAAATATCCACCCACCCACCCATGAGTACTGAACACCTACCAGGTGGCAGGCCCTGTCTGATCAGCTGTGAACTCCTTGTGGGCGAGAGCTGTTATGACTCACCATCGAGCCTTTAGCATTCAACACAGTATCTGGCTTATTACCAATGTCCAGTAACACTTAAGAAACTTGGAATCATCTTCAGGAACTCTCCAGTAGCAGAGATTCTGGCCCCTTAGTATGTGTATCAGTTTCCTATTGCTGCTGTAACAAATGACCACAAACTTCATGGCTTAAAACAACACAAGTTTATTATGTCCTAGGTCTGGAGGTCAGAAGTCTGCAATGGCTGTCCCTGGGCTAGAGACAAGGTGTGGGCAAAGCCGATTCTTTCTAGAGGCTCTTGGGGAGAATTTTGTTCTCTTGCCTTTTCCAGCTTCGAGACCACCTGCGTTCCTTGCTTTGTGGCCTCATTTTCCATCTTCGGATCCAGCAGTGCAGCATCTTTAAATCTTTGACTCTTGACTCCTGCTTTAACAGATAAATACACTGTTAACACTGCCTCTCAGTGTATTTAACCTGACTTAATTTGCTTAGGTTTTAAAAACATCCACGAGTGACACAGGGAACGCTTACTACCTGTCCTTCTCCTGTTCAAAAGCTTACATTATTTGGCGGCGTCTTGCTCCTTTCTCTCCCCTACACATCTCCCATTTGTAATCCGGTACATCCAGTCACAGTACTTGAATATATACTGTTTCTTCCCATTTTGGGGCTTGGTTCATAATGAACGTGCGGGAGTGTCTTCCCTTGCACTCACCTCTTTCTCTTGGGGACTTACTCTTCAGGGGAGCCTTTCCATCTGCTGGAACCCCCAGCGATTGCTCTGTCAACCCATGAGCTCCAATGGCCTCCTCACCACAGCCCTCATGGTTGAGCTCTTGTCCTTCGGTTTTTTCACAAATATGCAACTCTCATGCTTGAGTTCTTGGCCCTGAGCAGAGCAGAAATTGCTACTCAATGCCTTGGTCTGTTGCTTTGCCCAGCCCCCTCTTTGCCTTGCAGGCGGCCTTTTAACTCTGCTCACAAAGCAGCACCCCCGTCTTTGCTGGAGAGTGTTTCTGCTGCTGTCAGCACCTCGCCTTCCAGTTATGCCACGTTGCACAGGGTTGTGCTTTGACACGTTCTGGGAGCGTTTCCCCCACACAGCATGTCATGTGTTTATCTGAAGATGGGTGGGTTTGATTATTAAAGGCTTTGCAGTCTGTCTTCAAGTTTATGTAAGGGAAACAAATTGATGAGTCTTATTCAACCAATGTGAAGAAAAAGGCCATTCTTTCTCACACAATGTGATGATGCAGGCACTATTCTACTCTTTTTTTCTCTGCATTCTTGTAGCACATGATGGACGTTATTGTGAAAATGGGCAATTTGAAAATTATTCAAGTAGTCTTCACATGTGTACATAGAGACGTTTATACAAAGGACAGTCATCCCATCATTGTTAGGGCTGTAAAAGACTGGAAGCATCAATAAGGAACTAAAAATAGAGCACAACCGTACTACAAAATACCATGCAACAGTTAAAAAGAATTAGACGTGTGTGCCAACAGAGAACAATCTCTCCAAGAAATTTTAAGTATTTTTTTTTTTAACATAAGCTCTCCCCCCAACACGGGGCTTGAACTCACCACCCCAAGAGTCGCATGCTCTACCAGCTGAGCCAGCCAGGTACCCCTTAAGTATCTTTAAAAGTATGATCCAGAAGAGTGTATGAAGTACGCTTCTATATTTAAAGGGGAAAGCTAAATTCTATGCCTACAGGTACATAGAATGTCTCAGGTCATCCAAGAAACTGAATAGCTGTTGCCTCTGGAGAGGTAAACTAAGGACTGGGAGGAGAGAGATTTATTTTCAGTTTATTTCAGTTGACATCTAGTCATCAAGTCTTGGGAGTTTCTTTTCATACCCCAGCTTCGGCCTGAAGCATTTCTTTCCATCTAAGACGACTGGTTTGGATGTAGCTCAGTTAAATGCCCAGCTGAGTGTGGTGTTTCTCCAAGAAATCATCTTCTGAGTTGAACAGTTGGCCTCCGTTGAAGTGAGTTCTCCTCACAGGGTGCATGCACTTGATAACTTAAAATAGTTAATAACTTCATATGCCATTTGCATTATTTTTATCTTTTGTTTTCGGGGTGAGGGGGCATTAAAGGTCCAATTAAGCATGTACGGTGTGTAGTGATGAGCTGAAGCTGACGTGGGAGAACCGTGTTGTGAGTGAAGGGAGATGGCCCATTGTATTATGATGAAGAATGTTAGCTATTTAAATAATTGCACCCATTTCATTGTCGTTTGGGTTTTTTTTTTTAAGATTTACTTATTCATTTTTAGAGGCGGGGAGGGACAGAGGGGAAAAATCTCTCTCGAGCAGACTCCCTGCTGAGCAAGGAGCCTGATGCAGGGCTCCATCCCACAACCCATGAGATCATGACCTGAGCCAAAACCAAGAGTCGGACGCTCAACTGACTGAGCCACCCAGGCGTCCAGTCATTTGGTGTTTTAATTACGATTCAACCTGTGAGAATTCACCCTAAAGAGTTTTTTAGGAATGAATTATTCTTGTAATGTGATAGTTGATAGAAGGTATTCGACTTTTTTTTTTTTTAGCACGTGCATGTATTACCTTTTCAAAAAAGGAAAAGGAAAGAAGAGAAAAAACTATCTAATGGAAGCTTTCAAATGGTTACAAAGACTACAGACAACCAAGGGGCAGTTTTGAATTGAAGAGCCAGGGTACAGCTGCCCACTAGGGGCTGATGCTTGGGGCTGAGGTGCTAATCAGCTGACCTTAAATAAGGGTTCTCCTGGGTTATCTGGGTGGGCGCCATGTAATCAGAGGGGTCATCTAAAGTGGAAGGGGGAGTCAGAGTCTGAGATTAAAGATGCTACGAGATGGCAAGGAAGTGACAGATAGTGAGAGACTGTGGACCACTGCCTGCCACTGCGTGTGACTTGGGCGAAAAACACCATCACACCCCAGCACTACTGACCCGCTCTTCGGAAGCCATACACATATGCTTATGAATGCACCAAAAATCAACAACACAGATGCAAAATGAAACAAAAGTTTATTTTCTGCAATACCTTCTGTAAATTACAAAGGCAAAAATGCTAAACTACAGCATATAACTTTTCAATATTTAACCAGAGTACTTAAAATAAATATGCATCCTGAAACAAGATAAAAGGCTACACTTTGTCAGGCGTCCTACAAAATGTCTCAAGTTTTATACTCTGCAGCATTTCTGTGCGGGGGGTAGGAAGGAGGGGTTTGCTTGTATTAAGGGCTGTGACAAAAAGTCCTTTCACATTTCTTTGGAGCATTTTCGAAACTGCTGAACTATACACAACTTAAGAAAAGTAACACCAAGCTTGAAAGCCATTTTTGCTTTGCTGTCGTTGGTCCTCATCCAATAGAGATGAACACATCCTCTGAAACAGCCTAGCACCCTGTGCGCCCAGGCGGCCCTACGGCACATGGGCCCTGTCAGGGCAGGCCTCTGCCCTTTCCATTATATACCCCGGAGAGGTCCATGCTCAGCTGACATCCCTCCTTAGGAACAATGCCATAAGGAAGCTGCGATCAAGTTCAAAAACACTTTTAACCTGAAAGTAAAGTGAACAGAAATATTTTCCCCCATGACCTTTGCTATGCACCGTCATGTGTACCATATTGGGATTTTTAGTTTCAACGTTGGAAAAGTGATCGGTACTAACAGTCCTTCCAGAGATCATTTTTACGGGCACTGGTAGAGCTGGGGCATTCAAAAATACTCAGTGGGTAAAAGGAGGATTTACCGTATTCAGAAATGTGCTACAGTTCTAAGGACACAATGGCAGAATGTCTAGGGATACCGGTGGCAGCTCATGTTGAGTTTGGAAAAGGAATAAATACACAACTACCCTTGGCTATAGCGGAAAACTCTGAAGAAAAAGTTAGGCTTTAAAAAAAAGTCACAAGCACGGTTACCTAAAAATACTTTGTTAATAGAGTCTAATGTAGATTTCACTTATTTAGGGGTTTAGCTATGAAAACACCTTTAAGAGCCAATAAAAATATTGTAGAGAAAAAAAAACACTTTTTAAAAAATTGAGGTGAAGAACCATGAGGCATTTCTTTTGGCTGTAAACACGCAGTTTACTGTCCCTTGTTGAACACAAACGTCTGGATTCCTGAGCTTCACGGATAACAGCAGGAGGCCAGTTTGCATAGAAAATCTGCACTATGTCAACAATTTGCTTTAAAAAGAACTTCTAAGGACAATTTGCTTTTGTTTTTCAACTTCGGATTTTAGTGAATAGTCTCATCACACCACAGGACCAAGGAGCAAGCAGCGTGATGAGCTATATATAAGGCAGATGGGGGGAAATGATGGAATGAGAGCTTTTAAAATCCACAGGCTATCACAATAAAGGCTCTTCAGCATGCACCACATAACTAGTGCCAGACTAATATGGCCAAAAGTTGAATCATGTTTTAGGATTGGAAACCAAAGGCAAAAAGAGCCCTCCGGTGCTGAATGGCACGGCCTGAGTGTGGGAACGAAAGCAACGTGGAGCGCAGGTGTCAGCATATCCCTCTGGGACCACGAAGCCCCTCAGCCGGTCAGCCACGGAGGAGGGTGCCCACTGCCAGCACCAGGACCAGACCCCTGGGTGTGGCTGACCCCAGCTCCGGAGTCTGAAGGGGTAACACGGTGTGTCACCTCGGCTGCTGAGGTCTCTAAGTGGTTCTGAGGACAGTCTCCCCCAGGGCCCAGTCCTCAGAAAGCTGCCTTTGGAAAGGGAAAAAGCTCTGTGAGGCCACGGCGCACACCACGAGTGAGCACAATGGCAGTGGCTGCCAACAACTCCAGATCTAACGCAAAGATGGACAACAAGGGGGCAGTGTCCTGCCAAGGAATCCATTTTACTTCTTCTGGGACTGGTTTTTACACATGGTAAGGATTTGCTTCAGTACTTTCTGGACATCTTCGTCCATCTGGCCCTAGGAAATTCAAACAAAAGACAATCATTAGAACCCAAGTTGAGTCCTGGCGGTCTGAGCCCTAGGGAATGTGATGGCTGGCTGAGAGGAAGCCCTTGGCTTTTCCCCCAGATCTTCCAAAGGAATGTTAGCCCTATTGATCCCCACATTTCTATGAGGGACTGAGAGAGAGTGTCCCTCAGTCCCTCTCTCTGAGAGGGACTCTTTTCCCTCTGGAGGATGATGAGGCTGGGTCTACCAGAGCCGCCAGGCAAAGGGTTTCTGGGTCTCAGTTGCAAATGTGAGCCCAGCTAGCCAAGCCACCAAGAGTCATGGGGTGAGACCGTGCTGACTGCTCTAAGAACACGGGCACGCCTGAAAATAAAGCCTAGGCTCCTCCTCCTGGTGGGGGTAGAAGCCACATCCTCCTTCGGTTCTCAACAAATGATGAGGCGGCTCTCCATCAATGGTGTAGGGCTCCTGACAAAACCCAGAGCAAAGCAATAAGCATTTTAAAGCTTCTCAACGTAAAAGATTCTCCTTGAATTTTCATTTGTTCTACTAGTTTAACGATGGGAGTTTGGGTGACATCTGCTGTGGTATTTTTTTTTTTTTTTAAAGATTTATTTATTTATTTGAGAGAGCGAGAGTACATGAGAGGGGGGAGGGCCAGAGGGAGAAGCAGGCTCCTTGCCGAGCAGGGAGCCCGATGCGGGACTTGATCCCGGAACTCCGGGATCATGACCTGAGCCGAAGGCAGTTGCTTAACCAACTGAGCCACCCAGGCGCCCTGCTGTGGTATTTCTTTAGGATACCCAGATACTTCACAGGCTGTTAGCATACCTGCACAGCGTACAGAAGATGCATTCTGTAAACAGATATGACCTCCTGGTGTTGTTTCTTGCATTCCTGGAGAGAGATGATTTGATATTGTTAAGAGCTTAGGAGACCTTTAAAGAACAAAACCAAAAAACTATGAGAAAGCTGTGGCCAAATGCTACCCAAGTGATTTCCTCCAGCAAGTGCTAGCATAGGAGGCTTTTAAAATTGGTGTGGGCTCACTGGGTTGTGTATTTCTGAACACTTGTCACTATTTGTAGGGAAACATTTGTCAATATTCTTAGGGGAAAAAAATCTACGATTTCATATTTTTGGTATGTCAACTCTAGGAGAAAATTCATGAAAAAGTAGTTACTGCATAATCCCACCTTTGTTGCAAAAAATGTTTGTATAACTACTTATGCAAATACACAGACATATTCTCACAAAATAAATGGTGCAAAGAAACATCAAATGCTAAAAGTGACCACTTCTGAGTGTTTGGATGATGGACCATTTTTATTTATAGAAACTTTTCCAGAGTCTTCTGTATTTTCCAACTTCTCTACAATAACCAAATATTAATTTAATTTTTAAAAATCTATTCTTTTAAAAGGAGCTATTGGTTTCTCACTATATAGCCAGTCATATAGTCCCCAGGGAGCTCAATTATTCAGCTGTCAGAGTATCCAGGTGACGAACAGGGTGACGAACCAATCTCAACTGGTTCCTCAGTACAGCTGTTCATGCCTGTTTTTCCTTGTTATTATTCCAATTCCTCTCAGTAACTATTTCAAGAATCTTCACTCAGCTCTAAACTTTTCTAAGGAGATGGTTTTCCTCCTATTTCATGATGAAAATTGAGACTATCATATATAGATCACTTCCAAAGTCTACAAAAGTCTATCAATAACCTTCTCGCCTCCTTCTTATGAGTGTCAGAACATGAGGTGTCCTTCCTATTCAAGGACAACCTTTGAAACCTCAGTCCTTTGAAGGTTACACCATTAGAAAGTGGGCTTAGGACCTCCCTCTGCGTTGCTTCCTCTCACCTTTTGGACACCTCCACTCAATTATTTAAAACTTCATCTTCTGATCATTGTCCTCCTTTCCATCCCTGTATCTGTCATCATTTGGATGACGGCGATACCCACATGCATGAACCATGAACACCTCGGTCTCAGTTTCCCCAATGTCTACCTCAATGACTTGCTCCTCCTCCTTCCAGCCATACACTTCTCACCTGCCTCTGTCATTACCTCTGAAATCTCAAAAGAAAGCACCTCACCCTCTGGTTACCAGCTCCTCTCTTTCCAGCGAATCTACTTTAGGCTTCCCCTGCCTCCTGCCGTGGTTCGTCAGCCCATCAGACACTGGCTCCTTGGTCACTTCTCTAGGACAGCCCACTCCAGTCCGGATTCCATCCCACCCCTCCACCGGGTCTGTCTTGGCCAAGGCTGCCAAGGGCCATCTAAATGCCCCATCCCAGTCCTTGCTGCCTCCGACCTATCCCTTCAAGACTTAGCACAAGCATCACCTCCTGCAGGAAGCCTTTCGAGACATTTCCTCTGTATGCCTGGAGCATGTTGGACATCTCTCTACCAATGGAGGCTGACCACACTGAAAATATGGAAAGTCATTGAGTATAAATTCGGTGAAGGTGGGACTATGTCTTATTCACTTTTAGATCATTAGTGCCTTGTGTAATATTCATTGTGTTGAAAATTGTCAAAATGATTGTATGAACCATTAGCATTTTATCTACAAGTCCGTGATAACCGCTTCATCAGAAAAATGACCTGCACAACACAACAGGGAGCTTCTTCTCCTCCCCTGATCAGTCCTTCACTGCTAGAGCTGATAACACAAAAACGCTAGTTTTGTACTCTGTGGCCAGCCAGCGTAAGGACTGCAGAAACCTGAATCCACCAGTATCAAGTCTGTACTGAAGAAATCTTACAATCCAGGTCCTGTTTGTCAATGGAAACTAGAGATAGTCCAGGACAGACTAACTTTTGGCTTCACGTGGAAAATGTAACATCCCCGTGTCAACTAAAACCTTCACAAATGTTGTGGGAGGTGAAATGATGACCCTCCAAAGATGTCTGGGCTCCAATCCCCACAAACTGTGGAATGTTACCTATATGGTGACAGGGACCTTGCAGTTGTGATTAAGTTAAGGATCTTGAGATGGAGGAAAAGTTTATTCTGACTTCTGGGTATCCCTTAAATGTAATCACAAGGGTCCTTATAAGACAGAAGCAAGAGGAGGAGGAGATGGGAGGGCAGAGCCGGGGAGGGGAGTGATAGGCTTTGAAGCTGGAGGTAGGACCCATAAGCCAAGGAAGTTGGGTGGCCTCTAAAAGCTAGTGAAGGCAAGGAAATGGATTCTCCCCTAGAGCCTCTAGAAGAAACCAGCCTTGCTGATACCTTGCCTTTAGTGAAACTGGTTTCACATTTAACATCTCCAGAATGTTTTTTTAAAGATTTTTATTCATTTATTTGAGAGAGAGCAAGAGTGTGAGCGCATGCAATGCGGGGGAGGGGAAAGAGCAGAGGGGGAGGGGAGAAGGACAAGCGGACTCTGCGCTGAGCACAGCGCCCCACGCAGTTCCATCCCTGGATCCTGAGATTACTACCTGAGCAGAAAACTAAGAGTCAGACGCTTAACTGAGCCACCCAGGCGCCCCTATCTCCAGAATTTTAAGAGCACAGATTTTTTTAAAAACCAAGTTTGTGTTGGTCTGTTACAATAGCCATAGGAAATAAATACAGATACAAGAGGACTTTCCCAGGTCAAATAAGGAGAGGAGCCAAGAAGCAGCTTCAGATGCACAGATACACACCTATCAGAGATCCTGGCCCCTAATAAGAAAAAGTTCTTGCCACTGCCAGAGACAGTAATGACTGTGGTAGAAAGATGGAGAGGGGGTGAACAGTTAGTGGATGCATAACCACGAAGCCTGCGCCACTGTCCTGCCGATTCCTCCCTTCTCAGAGGTCCGGGTGACCCATCTCGATGCAGGCGACGCCCGGGAATGCACCACGCCCTCCTCCCGCCCTCACCCTGGAAGTGTTCAGTCAGTTGCTCTGCGGAGCACCACTCCCATAGGCTGGGACTCTTCTCACCCCAGCCTGCCCCTCCATCTCCAGCTGAGCTGGTGCGTAATCTGCCCGGCCCACCCTCCCCCCCCCCCACCCCCCAGCAGGCAGGGAGAGAAGCCCACTCACAGCCAGCTGGTTCTGGAGCTGTTTGACCTGCTGCTGCAGTGCTTCCAGCTGCTGACTCTGCCTCTTGGATGAGCTTGCAGAGTATGAGAGCTGCGAGAGGCTGTTCAGGGCCTCCTTCAACTTGGTGACTTCCTTCGACATCTCATTGATCTGGCGAGAAAGGAAAACTATCAATAGGCAAGAAAGGGCCCGCAGAAGGAAAATTCCAGAGCGTTCCAAGCCTTGAACAGAGCCTCTCGTTGGCCTCTGGGACTTGAGACTTTGGAACAATTTTTTATTTTTTAAAGAAAGCCCATAAAATGAAATAGGTAACAAAATCAGCAAGCACATCGCCCTCTTAAAGCCATTATATTCAAATAAGGGCCCCGGATTAAATCTTGTGCTTCGAGGCATGAGGGTAACAAACGCTATGGCACTGATAGCCTTTTTCACTCTGAAAGGGGGTGTTGTTGAAAAAATAAATCAGAACCAAGATTTTAGGCATTCTTTATTTGAAGACAGCTATGCCCTCTTCAATAGCGCTGACACAGGCAATCAGGAAGAAGTTCTAGGAACCCTGATTTCTATGGACATCTTGCTTTAAAGTAAACACAACTCCTCCCCGCAACCCAGCCTCTGCCTTCTGACTCCCTGCTCCCTTGGCTTTGGAAGCTCTTTTTGAAATCTTCATTATATTAAAGGAATAAGTGATTAATAAATAAAGGAATAAATGATCAGAACACCTGACCCAGGGGACTGGGGATGCAGAGCGGATTCAGGATCGGCACTCTTCTCCGAGTTGCCCCCTTTGTTTTCCTCCTTCCTCCAAGCCACACCCAGCCCGTCTCTACTCACCCGCCCCCCCCAACCCCTGCCTTCCCCTCCTATCCACCTTTGCCAATGAGGGCCAGGGAGGGCAGTTCTTCCACTGACTCAGGGGAAAACTCCTGGAACTTAGGGAAGCAGGATTAAGTCTGGGAATATTTAGGTTTCCATATGATGGAAGAATCTTTCTGGATTGCGTAAGAGTTGAAGTTCAAGATGGGTGACAAATGCCTTTCAGTTTGTGGGTTCACTTCCGATCCCTGCCACTTGGCAGAGCTTCTGTAAAATCATTTTAAAAGGGAAAACATGTGCACATATGTGAAAATGCTTTAATGTAAGGGGACCAATAGACAATTCAGTGGTTTTTTTTTTTTAAACAAAAATGTCCCACCTACTATTCTTAATGTGGCCGTGGGGACAGATGGAGTCACATGCAGAGCTTTTGTGCATTCACAACAGGTCAGTGCTAACCAACGCTAAAAACGTTAACCGTGCTAAAGCCTCGCTAGCTAGAAATGCGACAGCAATGCGATCTCACCAACCTTCTTGTCTTTATCCTCCTCCAGTTTGGAAGAGTTCTCCGACTGTCTCTTCAGGTCTTCCAGTTCTTCCTGAGTGTCCTGGAATTGTTGACGAAGTTCATTTGCTTCCTGCTCTTTGGCCTTTAAGAGAGCCTGAATATTCTCCTTTTCCCTTTTCATTTGTGACACCTCACTTCTTATCTGGGTAAGCTCTGAATGGGCCTTCTCTTTCTCTTTTGCCGAATCCTTCAATTTTGAGGCCAACACACTCACCTCACCTTCTAACGACGACTGGAGCTTTGCGTAGGCAGACCTGGGCACCATGGCATCCGTCATAGCGGCCTTCTCTTCTAGGAGCTGTTTCTCCAGCCTCGCCACTTCTCCTTCCTTGCTTGCAAGGTGCTCTTTGAGACTGCTTATTTTTTCCTCCATCTCTTTGGCGGTAGCCCGCAGCGTGGTTATCACTTGCAAATGTTCTGTGATGGAGACGGAGTTCTCTTTCTGGGCGTCCACCAGCTGTTTGAGCTGGGTCAACTCATGCAACACCTTTGAGTACTGAGACTTCATTTCGGACAGGGCCTCTTCTGCCTTAGCTCTGGATACGTTCGTCACTTGCAGCAGTTTCTCATGCTCCGCTTTATGGATATAGTCGGCCGTTACGTCTTCTAGAGATTTCCTCTTCCTATAATCCTCCAGCTCCGCCTGGGCTTCTTTGTACAGCTGGGACAGCTCACTCACCTGTTTGTTGAGTTCATCTATCATCCTGTTCATGGCCTCTTTCATGTCCCCGGCTTCATCCCCGGCCTCCTGGGTCGCCTGACTCTTTAGGGCATCTTTTAATTTCATGATTTCTTCTTGGGCCTCTTGGTACTTCTCAAACAAAAATGCTTTCTCCTTATTCATGTTCTCAATAACAGAGCAATATGAACTTTTCATTTCCTCGTATTCTTCCACGGGAGGCTTGATGACCATACCTTTCTCCCTCTCTACAAGTTTTTCTTCTAACTCCCTCACCTTCTCTTTATTTCTTTCACTTTCTTCCACTGCATTCTGGAGGTCCTGCTTTAGCACATCTATTTCCTCCTCGGTGATCCTTAGCTCTCGGAGACGCGAATAACTGTCCACGCTTTCCGGCGAGACGAGGCCCAGTTTCATTTGCTTCTGCACGTTGAGGACTTCTTTCATTGCCTCCTCGTACTTGCTCTGGGTTTCTTTCAGTTTCTGGCTGAGGTCGGAGCCGTTCTCGGAAATCTCTGCACTGTTTACGCACACCGATTCGGCCCTTCTGGACCGGAGCTCGGCCCGGAGCTGCTGCTTTTCCACTTCGGAGCTCTCCAGTCTCTTCTGCAGGTCTTGCAAAATCTCTTGTAGTTGCTGAATTCGGCCATCGCCGTCGCGAGTGGATTTACTCGAGGAATGTGGTAAGACGGATGGAGAGGATTTGGAGTCTGGGGGAGAGATGTCACTAGGTTTGCCCAGGGGTGGGGCCAAGTCAGTTTGAGTGGAATGGTAGGAGTCAAAGCTCAGGTCTGCTTCTGCCTCCTTGGGTGACTTGGCCTGGGAAAAAGGCAAGAAGGAAATGGCACCAAAGATGTGGTCAGGTGAGCAAGCAACTGGAAGGAGAGAACAAATCCAGAGCTTCCGTATCAGAGAGCCACAGGGTTCCTTTATGTGTACTCTTGCCCCATGACAAAATATGGTCCGGGACATGAGAGGCAGATTAATGACACTAAGCTTACTCTGTGCTCTATTAGGACCGCTGATGTGTGCCACTTTAAAAACACAAGATTTGTTTTGGCTCTAAAGCCTCTGACTCATAATTTTTCCTTTGCTTCTCATATTATTCCAGTTGCCGAAAGGGGCGATGGGCTTATTAGTACAGCTACTTCTTATTTAAGTTCTTAAATGTGCTAAATGATCAGCTCTACTAAATGAATGGGTAATTATACATGCGCACGCACACACATATACATATATGTCATCTATAACATAGACTAAGCATATAATTATGTATAATTGACCAATTTAGCAATTTACAGAAATGTAGTTAATGAATACCTCCTCTCTCAACAGATAATTTGAAACTGTAAAATGCTTGAGGCTAACTGTATTAACAAAGGAAGAAACCATATGAGATGTTTAAAACAAAGTATCATCTGACTAACCTGAAAAAAACCCCATAGTCTGACACTACAGAAGAGTCCGTGGTAGCAATCTCTGTACCCACCTGTAATTTATCCTGTAATTCCTTATTGTGTAAGGTAAGAGAAGCGACTTTTGCTTGCAACAGAACAAGAAGATCTTGTTGGTCAGCTTCAGAACTTATATCCAATAAGCTATCAGCACCTTGGAAAAGTGAAAAGCAATTTAAAATAATATTAAAAAATTAAACCAGTCTTTCTCTGCCCTTTAACCAAGTCACTTTCTACCCAATCCAGGGCTTATTCCTGGTCCTGACTATGAAAGAAAGCCTCTAGCAGCTGGGTAGATGAAGAGCAATTCTCGGGTCCTGGGGTTTCCCTTCCTGGGGTAGTCCCAGCACAGGACCAGATGCCTGGATGCATACAAGCTCATCCGAAAACTGATGGGATTTGTTCATATATTTTCCATTCACCTGATTAAGTATCATACCTTGGTTGCTTTTTGTTCCTCCCATGCCTAGTAAGTCCCATTTCTGTGAATCGTTTTAGAAATATCCTGGTTTACTTCTTATCCCTACCACTGTTACTCTGGTTCAAACTTTATCACCCAGCTTGGAAACCCTGCAAACAGCCCTGTAACAAAGCTCGCTCTCTCTCTCTCTCTCTCTCTCCCCATAGTAAAAATATCGCCTTACTCAGGCTAATCTTCCTGAAGCATGCTTTGATAAGGTCATTCCTGTGGTTCAAGTGCTTTAATCACTCTCTCTCTCCAAAATTAATCTCCAGACTGCTTCCTCAGGTTAAGGCCTCCATCATCTGGTGCCAATGTACTTTTTCAGGTGTGTGGCCCATGATCCCTAGTAACACATCTTCCTCAGATCCAAACTCTCCATCATACCCTCTATATTCTCAACACAAAGCTCCTGCCTTAATTCTTCATGCATACGACTGCCCTTGCAGCATCTCTTTGGCTAGGTCACTTGCGGGCATCTTTCAGGACCCATCATTCGATGACCCGATGACCACCCCACCACAAAATGGTCTCCTCTGGATCCCACAATCCTACTGTTGGTAAAGCACCACTTTTTGACATCCTACTGATTATCACGCTGAAATGGCATCTAAAGCAATGCTACTCAATGTGCTGAGACAAGAACCTTGTTCCAGAATGTCATTCAGCACACCTCCTCCTTCATGCAGTGTTCCTATGGGGGGAAAAAAAAAAGTGCCGGACAAAACCGTGTGCTTAGCGGTATCGCTGGATGGCTTTCTGGCGCAAACTCCTTATTTCCTGTAGACTGGCAACAGTTTACAGACCACAATCTGAATAGCACTGACCTACATTCTTTACCGTTATTTTATTATTTTCTCACAGGCATTTAATGCAAAGATGAAAACTTTACTCTTAATTTGGAAGGATACAAAATGACATTTCTTCATAGAAATGTTTACTTCTGATGTCTGGTGCCTAAACCACAGCTTTATAGAGTCCCCTTGACATAATGTCTGTTGAGTTTGGAATAAACCAGAGGACTGAGAGCATGACTATAATTCTAAACTACAGAAACTATTTCTCAAATACAATGGAGGGGTGCCTGGGTTGGTTGAGTGTCCGACTTCTTGGTTTCAGCTCAGGTCATGATCTCAGGGTCCTAAGATTGAGCCCTGCGTCAGGATCTGTGCTCAGTGGGGAGTCTGCTTGAGATGCTCTCTCTCCCCCGGCCCCTCCTCCTGCTTGCACACATGCTCTCTCTAAAATAAATAATTTTTTAAAAAATAAAATACAATGGATGGTTTTTAAAGAATCCAACAAGTGTTCAATTAACATGGATCTCTGCCAGGAATTAGAAAGTTTAGTATTTCTAAATTCTGTAAGTTAAAAGTTCCAAACACATGAAATGCATAATAGGCTAGGAAAGTGAATGCTGAAGCAAAAGGAGCTTTAGAAATAATTTATGTGACATTTTAAATGGACTCTGGGTGTACTGTACTACATTCTTAGAGAGTAAACCCACTGGATGGACTCTTGAGGCAATGAATGAAACCTTGTCTTGGTGAAGACAGTATGACTGTGTGTGACTTCATTAACATTGTGTCTTTGCATATGTCTATTTAAAATCCAAAGTAGGAAAGTTAGATCGTGCAGCCACGGAAGTGCTCAGTTGGCTCTCCTTTCAGGAAATAACTTGCTGCCCAGTGGCAAGGACTGCTGCTTGCTGACGGCAGCAGTGGACCTCATCGCAAAATCATGTTTTATTTAAAATGCATAAGAGGGGGGCGGGCACCTGGGTGGCTCAGTCAGTTAAGCAACAGACTCTTGGTTTTTGGCTCAGGTCATGATCTCAGGGTCATGGGATCGAGCCCCACTTCGGGCTCTGCATCCAGGAGAGCGTCTGGGACACAAGCAGCTCTCCCTTCAGCTTACCTGTGGTGCTGTCACTTCGTCTGTCTTTGTTTTCCTGGACAGAACTGACCTCAGCCTGCTGGAACGCAAAAATGACTTAAAAGAATATTCCTGACTGTAGTATTCCACAAGAGAAGCAAGCAAATTTTCCTCCCTGAGCTGACACAGAACAGGTAGCTTTCTAGAAAAAGTTAGAAAATCCCCAGGAAAGAAAATATTTTAAAATATAAGTGAATAAAAGTGACAATTATCTAAGGAGGTATAATCTCTAAAATGTTAGGTTCCAGAGCATATAACCTCAAAATATTTTTCAGAAATTTCATTTAGTAAGTATAATACAAATATCTTTTAATATTATAATAACTTTATGTCTTTGTCCTAAAACTTGAGATGGCAAATATTACTTTCATAATGAAATACAAGTTTTACCTGTCTGGGTAATACATTGATTAAAATACATTAGAACTATTTTTTAGCTTTACTATTTTATACATTAATTGCTATTAATGTATTATTAATATTTCTATGAGAAATTGTAGTAAATAAGACCTGTCAGGGAAGATAAAGGTAATTTTATAAGGGAATAAAAAGTTTTATGGTCATGGATTGACAATCCTCTAAAGATTTCCTCTAAACCTTTGTCCCTGAATATCTGTCTGCTAAATACATTGCAAAAATTCTTGCAACTTCAAAGCCAGACTTTCATTTCAAAACAAAATACAACGAGTTGCCAGAAATTACTATGTTTCATCCAGATGAGCCATAGACCTGATAAGAAAGATAAGTTTTCAGCAAAGGAACTTTTGTGAAAGCCCAAATGCTAAAAATAAAGTGGCTCATTTTTGGCAAGTACTCATCGTTACAAAAAGCTGTCTTTTCACTTTATAATAATGTTTAATTTTTCAGCTATCTTAAGGTACAATAAACAGCATCCATTTAAAAGTTTATGGTGTAAGGGGCTCTGATAGATATACACCCATGGAACCACCACCATAATCAAGACACAGAATATTTCCATTAACTCAACAAGTTTTCTCCTGCTTCAACGCAGCCAATCCCTGCCCACCCCAGCCCCGGGCAACTGCCACTCTGCTGTTAGCATTAGAATTCCTATAAATGGAATGTCATGGGTATGAATTTGTGTCAGGCTTCTTTCACTCAGCATGATGACTTTCAGATTCATCTATGATAATGCTTGGACAGCTCTGCATTCTTTTTTATAGCTGGGTAATAATTAATTGTATGGACATATCTCATTATCTTCATCCATTCACTTGCTGACGGACATTTGGATTGTCTCTAGTTTTGGGATATGTGAATAAAGCTGCTATAAACATTTGTGTATATAATTTTTTGAGACATGCATTTTAATTTCTCTTGGATAAACATCAGTGAGTAGACGGCTAGATCGTATGTTAGGTGTATGATGAACTTTTAAAGAAACTGTCAAAACAGTTTTCCAAAGTAGTTTTGCCACTTTACATTCCTACCAGCAGAGCAGAACAATTCTAGTTCTTCCACATTATCACCAACATTTGGTATTTTTAAACTTTAGCCATTCTAAATGGTGTCACTTTTTATCTTTTGTGTGTGTGTGTGGGGGGGTAAAGAAATGAAAGTCTTTTTACACTCTATTTCTGAAAATTGTAATTTGTGATATTATTCTTTGGAATGCATTGCATCCTTTGAGCCATTTTTATATTAGAAGATAGTAGGGTACTAATTGTAAGAGCATAAAACTTTCTTGCCTTTCCTTGCATAGATATTCATCTTAAGAATTTATTAATAAAATCTAGTTAAAGTGGGAGAAATGTCAGGTTGACAAGCTTTTTCAGATCCCTGTGCATCCAAGTTCAATAGAAAATTTATCTTTGGTAATTTTTAGATGGGGGAAAGCAATATACAATGATACCACTGCAATTGCATTTCAACAATTACAAATTTTATTTTCTTTCCAAGCATAATTTCCTAGTGATGCTTAGGTAAACAGTTAGTAAATTGAAATGTCCCCCCATTTCTTAAAATACTTTCCCACAACAAATCTAGAGAATCGGGTAGAATGGATTTTCTAAAATAAATGCATATTAGTTTACAAAAAACCTTAACTAAAAATATACAATTACTTGTAAGACATCAAAGAATAATCAACAATTCTTTCTTTTTGATTGGCATTATATCAACTCGATTTAGTAAGAAGACTGGTTATCAGCTAAGTTCTTATATTTGTTCCTTTTTTTAAAAGGAAGAAAATTAGTTATTACTTAATGAATGTAATTTATTCATTCTACTCTTTGTGTGTGGAGTCCAGGCCAGGAGAGATAACTGAAGGGTGCTTCTTGATGAAAAGGTTGTGAACCAATCACTGGGAAGTCTATTTTGTTCTGCCCAATGTTGTACCACTTAAAATCATATCTATTATGTATCTTAAGATTCAAAATTAATTGGACACGGAAAGGAATTACCTTGAAGGGTGGTTCGGCAAAGAACACAGATTCCTTTCCCAAAAGTGGTGTTGAAGTTATTGATCTTGGGGAAGACACATCACTCAACTTAAAAGACAAAATGAAAATCACAGATAAAGAATGCTTCTTCAAAGTCTTTTCTTCTCTAGTGCCAAAGAACTCACCTACTTAACCAATGCAAGTAAATCTAATGGTAACCATCCTTAGTCTCAATTAATTCAAGGGTATTTTCAACTTAATGTAGCCCCTCAAATACCTTCCAAAATCTTGTAGAGTATAAGTAACTCTGCTACTCTAGTCACGAGAAGCAATTTTCAAAACCTATAAAACTGTGGCATGTTGAGAATATTATCAGTGAATATGCTCACATAGTTAACATAACTTATCAGAGATATTCCTCTCAACTACTTGAGAGATTTCACAGACATGTGAGCTTCCTTCTCTAGGCCACAGTCACTATAAGCTCAGAAATGAAAGCTGCTTTTAATATTAGCCAACCTTCAGTGTAATGAGAAAGGCAAATATATTTTAGCAGTGTTTTAAGAAACCAATTAAAATTCATTTTCAATTAACTGCCTCACCAGCCACCCATTCTTCTTGCTTTTATGTGAGCTATTAATGTGAGGTACTAAAAGTAGACTGAGCTTCACTTAAGGAAGAAGTTTCTGTCATAAGATTTTGAGAAATTACCCTGAGGCTTTTATTTTTATTTTTTTTCCCTGAGGCTTTTAAAAAAGATACTGTTCAACTCCTCAGCCTTGCAATAAATAAGAATCAACATTATTTCCATACTAATAATCAAAATCCTTCATACTGCTCTCTGTAATTGAAAACCAGTAAAGAAAAATTTAAATGTGCATTTAATGGGCACCTGGGTGGTGGCACCTGGGTGGCTCAGTCAGTTAAGTGTCTGCCTTCTGCTCAGGTCATGATCCCAGGGTCCTGGGATTGAGGCCCACATCGGGCCCCTTGCTCAGCAGGGAGCCTGCTTCTCCCTCTCCCTCTGCCCCCCCCGCTCCTGCTTGCTCTCGCTCTCTAGTGTTCTGTCAAACAAATAAATAAAATCTTTAAAAATAAATAAATGTGCATTTAAGGGTTAATCCTAAAATATTTCTTTTTGGCCTAAACACAAAATGACAAAATTGTGGTTTTTTTGTTGGTGATGTTGTATGTTTGTTCACTGTTGGTTTGCTTTTGTCTTTACCTGGGTAGGACTGATAGGAGGTGGTGGAGCTTTGCGTTTTTTTGGAGTTCCACTTCTTTCTGAGCTTACTTTAGAGACTTGATCATGCTGGAAGTTATCACAGTCCAAAGAATGGAGGTGGGTTAGTTCGGTTAGTAAAGTCTGAACAAACAGCTTCATCAACCAAATGAGAAAAACCTCAACTGTTCATGCATTTCTTACTTTATCAAGACCTGACATCTACTGCCCATACAAAAATAAGTAATATGCATGCTCCAAGTGCTCTTCTAGCAGTCCATGCTTTAATAGCCAGAAAATATAAAACACAAGACAAAACCAGATTAAGTTGGTGTGGAGAACTGGGAAAGTGGAGGATGGGGAGCTGTCTGCCCCCATTTAGAACCCAGGATACATTCCTCATCTAGCTTCTGTCTTAATGCAAAGCAATGGTATTTCTACCACCTTTGCATTAGTTTCACTCCTTTCCTTAAAGAATGTTGATATGGGGGCAAGGGGAAATGTCATCTCTGAAGGTTATAAATAAGTAACCCAGCTAGTACCTAATAAATTCAGTATTGACTATTTCCTGTTTATGACAATTTTTCAAGAACCTTGATGTGTAAGTAAATAAATACAGTAGTCAACTATACATCTCATCAAAAAGGGAAAAAACACTGATGATGTTTTTAGGGAAAAACTCCAAAATAACAGGGCAATCTTCTCAATTTCTGTCTGTAACTCTAATGACATTTTAGAAAAGTTCCAATTAAAATGAAAGGACAAGCTAAACCTCTTATGTTCATTAAATATCTCGCACTACCATGGATGGAGGTCTATAATCCATGGGATACACAAGCATTTAAAATATTGTTGTTTGTTCACAGAGTTAACCAAACATTTTTACACCGACAGAAAATATTAGTATGTTTCAGAAAAAGATGAATATATAAGCAGCAAGTTTTAAAGTTACATGCTTTGGCAACAGGGTAAACCATTAAGAAAACCTTTACCATTTTCTAACAATGAATCATTTATTCTAAAGATTTGTCACTCCTTAAGTATTTTCAACATAGTTTTTGTCACTTTTCTAGTGGACCACAGAGTGGTTTAATCAGGTCCTTTTCAAAGTCCCACAAGCTATGATGACAAAAAAATTCTCTCCCCCAAAGATAAATACCTGCTTTGGTTTTGTTGGTGTCTTTAAATCTGTAGAGGAAAAAGTGGAAAAAAAAAAAAAAAAAAGAACTGTAAGAACCATGACTCACATCCACTTTGGGACTTTGGGTGGCGGATACACACATACACACACACACTCACACCCATAACACAACAAACACAATATTTAACACTTCATTTTTCTTCAAGAATATGTTTAAAGGAATAACAGAATAGATCATATTGCACACATTCCTTTACCCTTTGGGGAAAATGGAGTGGATAAATTTAAAACAACACTGGCTATTTTCTTTCACATACCAGAATCCTGAGAGATTTTTGATAATAGAAGGCTTTGAATTCCTGCATTTTCTGAGAGTTTGGAATAATGTAAGGCATTGTGTCCAAGAGAATCTACAAGGTTTAGGTCTGCACCCTTTTTAATTAAGGCTTCCACGATATTAGAGCTGCTGATCTCACAAGCCAGCATGAGAGCAGTTCTAAAGAAAAAAGGAGATACCAAATTAGTACTAACACAATGGGAAAACACTTTCTTGGGAAGTCATTTATCTTGAAAACAAGGAAAAGATGATTACGTGCAGTTAAACATATACACTTAATCTAGGGAATTTGAAATGCAGTGCTAGCGAGATGAAATTTTTTTTTTTAAACTTCAGATTAAATCAAAACATTAAACCATATTAGGTCAAATAACAGAGACATAATCTTCTAAACATAATGGAATTTAATATGATTGGCATAAATTATGTCCTCTTTTCACCTCAAGCATTTCAAAGTACCTATACATCATTATGACCGTTTTTAAAAGCAGACAATATGTTTACTCTTGTTTAATTTTGCATGAAAAGCCATTGGAAATGGCCTAGTCACTTTAGTATTCAATAATCTCATCATAGACTGAGGTCTGGGGGAAAACTGTTTTAAGCCAAAACAGATTATGGATTATCAAAAGAGGCAGGAGGGGTGCCTGGCTGGCTCAGTCAGTAGAACATGTGGCTTTTGATCTCAAGGTCGTGAGTTTGAGCTCCATGTTGGGCACAGAGTTTCCTTTAAAAAAAAAAAAAAAAGGCAAAAAATGAAAAAATTAAAACCACTTTATAACAAATGATCCAAAAGATAGCTGTGTTATTTTGAGACTCCCAGAATGTAGATATCGCCAAAATCCCGTGATTTCTATTTCTGTGGTACCTTCCATTTTTGTCCCTGGAATTTACATCTGCTCCGTGGTCCAGGAGAAAGCGACAGACCTCACTGTGGCCATTTTGTACTGCAAGCAGCAGTGGTATATTCCCATCCTAGGAGACAAATTCAGATTGATTGTCACTCAGACACCAAATGGCCAGAATCGCAAAGGACCTTGTTCTTTGTACATTTATTCCTGAGCCGTCCCGCCACCATGACAGTTTGCATCCCAACTGTGTGCTGTTACATCTCAGCACAGCTCTTCTTACGGAGCTGCACCAACTGTTAGCTTTTCCTCAGAACCTCGGCCTCTTGGGTTGCTTGTTCCTTCAGCGACCATCACTTAGTCTGGCGATGATGTGAGAGAGAGGGCAACACCAAGCATGTAAAGGCTCAAGGCAAGTATATCATGTTTATTGAGGAGATGGCTCCAGAGAAAGGAAGGACTTGTTTCCACAGGTGGCGGTGGCAGCTTCTTCCAAGCGAACCCCATGCTTCTACCATTCATTCCGCTATTCCCTTCTCAGAGAGTGAATGCTCTCATAACCTCACAGGTGCCACAACAGAACAGAAATTAAGAGTCTGTCTATTCCTGACACCTGGCTAGATAAAAGATGAATGGAAAGAATGATTTAAGATGACAGTTGGCATTCCTTAAAAAAAAAATGATGTTGAATCACTGTATTATATACCTGAAACTAATGTAACACTGTATTTTAACTACACTGAAATTAAAATTTTAAAAAATTAAAAAGGCAAAAAAAAAAAAAAGAGAAAGAAAATGAGATCCCAACTCATATACAAATCATGTAAGGAAATTAAGAATTTAAACATTATTTACAACAGAAAACAAGAAAAAAATACAAGAATATATAGGTGACTTTTTTTTTTAAGATTTTATTTATTTATTTGAGAGAGAGAGAATGAGAGATAGAGAGCACGAGAGGGAAGAGGGTCAGAGGGAAAAGCAGACTCCCTGCTGAGCAGGGAGCCGGATGCGGGACGCGATCCCGGGACTTCAGGATCATGACCTGAGCCGAAGGCAGTCGCTTAACCAACTGAGCCACCCAGGCACCCTAGGTGACTATTTCTACAATCTTAGGGTGAAGAGGTCCTAACTCAAATGATACAAACCATAAAGAGAAGCTTTTGTTCTGCTTTTTCCTTGAACATTCCTCACAAATGGGGTTGACAGTAATTTTTAAGGTAGATGTATTCAAAGAGGCAAAGGAAAAAATAAATTACAATATAGCCAATGATTTAACATGAGGATTTAAAAAAATATAATTACTGCTAAAGATTGAGTCTCCATTTAAAATAGAATTTCAGACGCATTTCTAAAAAGTTATCTCTGTGAAGTTATAATACTTTCTGGTTATAAAGCACTGAGATTCAGGGAGTGGGAATTCATCCTCAGATTCTATATACTCACTTAACAATATCCCCGTTAGGTACAATGCATGCAGGTCAATTCCCATCCTATGACAGGAAATTTAACTTTGTAAACCAGGAGTGAATGGCATGTACATTTACTCTCAAAATAGTCCAGCAAGGTTAAAATAGTCTAGAAGCAGTCTTCAAAGTTGAGAAACACTAACCAAGAGTACCCAAGATGATACATGGGAAAGAACAGAAATAACAGAACTTCAATTTAGACTTATTTCTTATTTCTAAAAATCAAGAAAGTCAGCCTTATTAATATTTAGGTTGATGGCAGACAAGCTCAGAAACAAATACACACATCAGGAAGTGCATGTTGCAAAATGTCTTATTAATGGTTCAGGGACCAGTGGAGAGAATACTTGAATCCATTTGGCAGAAGAGGACCCAGGTCGGAAATCACTAGCCTTGCCAAATGCTGAGGTCTCTAAATGTCTTCGTGACTTTCGGGAGTAGCCCAGAGCACTCTAGAAACCAGTGTCCATCTAGTAGCCGCCCGATACTCACCAAATCCTTGAGGTTTATGGGGCTTTTGTGCTCGCAGAGAGCCTGCACGGCTTGCAGGCAGCCTTGTGCCGCTGGGGAAGGAAGCAAACACCACAGCCCATCACAACACTGTTCGCACAAGCAGGGACGTCAAACACGTTCAGGACACGGAAAGTTCGCGTCCCACCCAGTTTGCCTATGTTACTCTAGTTGCAATGAAGAGCAATGGTATCAGGAAGGTTAAGTAAGGTGTTTTCAATTATTATTAAATTTCGATGTTTCTAGACCTAAAGCCAGTGGCTGCCAGTTGCCCTTATACAAATACTTGGTTTAGCATTTTGTAAGGACTTAGCTTGTCCACAACGAGCACTAACGGGAATTTATAAATCTCATCATTCCTGAGTTCAGTGTCAGCGTTCTATTACTTGGAGTTGTGTGATAGATAACAACAGACAGTAAAACAGAACACTGATAAATAAAATTGGGGTTTCTTTTGAGCCCCAAATCAAAAAAGTCTGTATCAAATGTCACATGAAATCTGCAAATGCTTATGAGTACCTCTTAAATAAGCAGCTTACATTAATTAAAATACAATAACCATGACAATTTTTACTGATTGTTTGGCAGGCAATTGATGAATTCTAGATGTGTTCTTTGATAAAACTCCACACGTTTTGCAAACTGAGGGAAATGGAAATTCTAGGAATGATGACAGACAGCATCAGAAATAAAATGGCTCGAAGGAGGAAAAGGAAAATTTAGTATTTCTTGTGGCAGAAGATAAATAAGAGACTGAAAGTCACCTGCATAATGTAAAGCTGTTTTCCCAGAACTGTCAACGCTTTCGGCTGGGCATTTAGACTAGAAGACAAAAATAAATAAATACACATAATAAAATTCAGTTCTGTTTAACAGTTCATCCTTTTCTTGCAAGGTTATGATGTATCTTATTAGGAAGAGTATAAATAGGAATAAGCCCCCACTGCTGCGCTCCAGGGCCTACTGGTGGGGGGGGAGAGACTCATTTCCAAGTAATGGCGACCCAGGCAAGAGGTCACGTCTTTGTTGCTTTGGCTGTCCTGTCCTCTCTCACACTAGCACCCCATCACCAGCAGATCATCCCCACCAGCTACCACACATGCTCTAGGAGTTCTCATCTTGATCCCATCTTTCCCCCTATTTCCTGCCCTAATTCTCTATCTCCCTTCACAAAACCAACTTTCTGTCAAGAACCCCCCATGTGCAATCCAGGCTTCCTCGCTTCCCATTCACTTCCAAACCCAGTGCAGCTGCGTGCTGTCCTCCGGACTCCACAGAGATGGCCCTAGTCGGTCACCAACAACCTTCTTGTTTCCCACAACAACAAACATCTCTGTCCTCCCCCTAGAGCAATCCACCCCCTTCTCCAAACATTCCTTCCTCTCGGCTCCACACTAGCCTGCTTTCCTGGCCCCTGCTCTGGCCACTCCCCCTCCGTTAGCCAAACAGAACCTTGGGGTTCCTCGCTGCTCTCTTCCTTGGTAATCTCATCCACACCCACCAAGAGGCCAATGACTCTCAAATGGAAATCTTAACAATAACCACCACAATAGTGCCTACTAGCTATCACGTGCTGGGCACTCTTCAAAGAATTGTTTTTAGGCTCCTCACAACCCTACATAGATACTATTATCACTCCCACCGTCATTTGAGGAAACTGAGATACAAAGAAGTTAATAATTTACTCAAGTCACAGGAAGTGGCAGAGCCAGGATTCAAACCCAGATGTGCTGGATGTGCCCATGTTCTTCTCTGTACACAACAGACATCATCTCTGAGTGCCAGGCTGGATAACCCATTGCCTAGTTCACATTCCTGCTCCCTGTAGGCACCTCAAACGCAGCCCAGCCCAGACTTCTGGTCTCCTCTCCCTGACGCTTCCCTGTCTTTGTCAACAGCACCATCACCCAACTAGCCAACGAGCTAAAGATCACTGGGCCATCTCTGATTTCTTCTCCACCCCCTCCGCCACCATGTCCGGTCAATTCTGTGTCCTAAATACACCTGCTCTACTCTCTCTTTCCCCATGATCACCCCATCAGCTAAGCCAGCACCTTCTCACCCAGACAAGCTGTGGCTGCCTCCCAGTGGTCTCCACAGCTCTGCTTTTGCCCCTATTCTCTATAGGACTAGAGTGGTCTTTTAAAACTGAATTCCTTGAAAGCCCTCCACAGTTCCACGCTGTGCTTAGAGGAGTTACAGTCCGCCTATTATGCCACACAGGCCGGCACCCCGTGTCCTTCTTTCTCCTCCTCACTCGTTTTGCCCCAGGCTTTCCTTCCTCTTTAACTAGAGCCTTTCCTACCGGAGGCCCTCTGTACTTGCTCTTCTCTCTGCTTGAGAGGTTTTCCCCTTGGCTCTTTCCATCGTTTTCAGCTTAAATATCACCTCCTCCATGGGGCCTTCCCTGAATATCCACCCCACACTCCTCTCTCTCAGGTCTCTGTTAGTTTTCTTCATGATGTTATGCAATATGTAATGTGTATTTGCGGATTTGTTTACAAGATGGCCAGCTCCATCAGGATAGGGGCTGCTCTGTTCTCTGTTCGTGAGCATATATTCAATGCTTGACACAGTGCATGGTGCCCACAGGACACTTGTTAAAAGCAGGGGGGCCTAGCGGGCTCTTGGGGGAGGGAGAGGGTTCATTTGAATTTGAAGAATCTCACAAGACTCTTTGTGCTCACTGCCTTGAGGAGGCAGAACTTTAAAATGGTAGCCACTGGAGAAGAGAAGTCTCTCCAGCAGACAGTAAGAGCAAAGGCCTAGAGAGCCTACAGGGGATTAAGTGCAGACAGTAAGGGAGGGCAGGAGATGACAAGAGTCCCAACAAAGAGGGCAGGGTATGCCAAGACACAAGTGAAGAATTGGCTAGAGATGTCCAGGACCCAAGGAAAGCAACCCATTACTAGGACATCAAAGCCTCCGGTTTTAGCAACTATTCAGAAAGAAGAACAGCAAATTTGCAAGTTAGAGGCAAGAACAGGCAATGTTAGAGTGAAATGTCTGTCTGCCCGTCAGTGGTAAGAAGAATGGAGATCAAGTTACGACTTACCATGCTTTGGCCTAATTTTAGAATAGCACAAGGAAGTGTTTAAAGGCTTCAAAGATTCCAGAGAAAAACCAATCCATTTGCATAACCAGATATAAAATTACATTAGAGGCTAGAATATCTGGTCCTTGCCCATGAGGATTTCCAGCTTGTCAAGTTCATTCTTCCTGAAAATCAGAGCCAGATGCAAAGTCTGGATAACCAAGCCAGACTGGGAATGGAGATTTAAAATACAAATAAGTTAAAGAAAAAATGAAGGTAAGGCCAAGGGTATGGAGGCAGGATACTGGGACAAGTCAGTGATTTGTCATTTATCCAGAGTGCCGGGTCTCAGAGAAGGCAGATAAGTTCTATTTTAACCGTTTTCAGAGAGATGCCTCATAATACAAAATAATAATAATAACAGATGTTGATCTATTTTTCTTGAATTTCACTTCAAAGACCTGTTAAGGTTATGCATTCCCGGCATTGGTGGTAGCTTGCATCATGTAATGGAAGACAAGAAGCTGTGTGATCAACAGAGCACGACAAGTTGAAGAATGTGACCACATTTCTGCATTAGAATTGCAAAGCCAAATTAAAGCAAGATGCCGGTCCCACACAGCGCTTGCTCGTGAAGGCTGAGGCAAGAGCACAACAGAACAGTCTTCCAAGCACAGATTTTATTGCTCTGTGCCGTTCCTGAAAACCACCAGCTTGCATTTTGACTGGCAACAGCTGGATGTTACAGTATGGACAGCTATCAGGAGTTCATTAAATATTCATCTTTAAAGATTTACAGAGGTTGTCCCCCTACGTGAGCATTATAAGCGGGCAAGCAAACCTGGGAGTTGGCTTGAAATTATAAAGAATAAAACCAAGAACTTAAACAAAAACCAAGAACTAAAAGCTCATTAAAAGTTACATATGAGGAAATAATGGTTAAAATTCTGTTTCTCGGTAAGAGTTGTGTTCTCCCAATGACAGAAGGAGAGAATACTAGGGTACTGGAGATCCTGTATCGTAACGGTCTCCAACAGCATGGGAAAAGTTTTTAAAACTGACTATGTAAAGGATACAAGTCTTTCAGGAAAGAAAATGAGGAGCTGAATAAAGGAGAGAAAAAGGCTGGATCCCAGGAAGGCACTCCAAATTCTGATTAGGACCCTCTTCCCTTACCAGCGCAATTGCTATGGAAATAATCTTCTCCTTGGTTATCATTTAAAGAATGACGCCTCTTAGGAAATGCAGTTTCTGGGATGGTATTTAAAGGAGTGTGCCTGTGTTTGTTCTTTCACAGATAAGGGTACTCTTAATTTGACATCACTTTAAAAATTTACCATTTTAGGTTGTTCCACGTTACCTGAAGGAGCTTCCGGATGCATTCATAGTGGCTGTTCTTGGCTGCGAGGTGCAAAGCACTGTGTCCTAAATGGAGTGGAAAAAAAAGTTTTAGAAAAAAAGGCCACACATTTTAAATCCCTTTCTTATCTCTATAAGGAAGACAACTATGAGGAAATAAACTGTTCTCCAACAAAGACGGGATTGTTACTCTTGAGGGGAAGACCTCAGCTTCTTATCTGTAAAGTTCAGTGACAAAAGAGCGGAGAACACAGGGCATCCTGCCCACTGGGGAATATTCGGGGTCTACTCCAAGTGCCATTTCTCTTGGGGTGCCATGAAATCTTAGCTAGAAGCTTGCAGGTGACTCAAGACATGCAGCTCAGCTCTGCAACTGTCAGTATGTAGGCCAAATGCCCTGCATCCACATCAGCCACACCAGGCTTCGACTACCACAGGCCCAGGAACCCAAGAGAGGCCGCCCATGGGCCAGGCGAGAACATTCTGAACACCCACACACTTAAATCCCGATTTTGGACCTTTCATTTCCCTCTCCTCCAAATGTGCTCCAGTCCCTGCACGGAAATTACCTGGAGTTTTCAGATACTCAAAATCCTTCTGTGGAAGAAGGGAAAGAGCTGTAAAGCCAGTAATACACTATTTAAGTGGCATCTATTTCCATTCCCTTCATAGAACATGACTCCAACATGAGGTCTCCGATGCCTTAGCGGTCAGCTTTAGGAAGTCCTCGTGCTGGCCCCAACTCTCTCCACTGTCTAATGGGCCCACAGAATTTCTATGGAAGAGGGGCTGAGGGGCAGCCTCTCGGCAGAAGGCCTGGCTACCAGCCCAGCAGGCTCCCACCTGAGGCCCTTCCCAGCTGCTCTGCACTGAGCCTGGAATCTCTCCCTCCGGATCACCACACGGCTTACTCGCTCACCTCAGATGCGGCTGAAAGGGTGCTTTGGAATGAGGTATCCCCTGACCTCCCCTTTTAGAATTCCCATTCCTCGGCCACCTTTTTAATCCTTACTCCCTGCTTCATTTCTGTTCTTCACAGCACTGAGCACCTTCCCACACTCCCTTCCCACCCCAGCCCCTCCACACAACACACACATTTATGGAGATCATTGTTTTTCTTTCCTCACTAGACTATGAACTCATTGAGGACGGGAAGTTCTGATTCATTCCCTGCTGTGTCTCTAGTCCAGCACTGGTGATGCATAGTAGGTTCTTAATACACACTTGTTAATTTGAATTAGAAGGTATAGCTCATTCCAAATGTCTGGGGAGGAGGTCTGGGGGGAAGGAACCAAAATCACCACTGCTGGCCAACCCAGCACACATAGTCAACTCTTCTAAATCCTCCATTTTCCAAACTTTTTGGCCAAGATACGCCCAATGTAACACCTGTAAACAACCCATACTTTGGGACATGCTTCAGAAATGGTTTCTCAGCCTCAGCGCTATTGATTCTTTAAGCTGTGTGTGTTGAGGGGAGGGAGGTTGTCCTATGCATTTTAGGGCAATAAGCAGTACCTCTGGCCTCTACCCATCATATGTCCATTTGTGATGATCAGAAATGTCTCCAGACATTGCCAGATATTCCTTGGGGGCAAAATCACCCCTGGGGAGAACCACAGGGCTTAGAGACAACAATTTCTTTTATATGGTGGTCCAGTCTCCAAATATCATTTCTCCTTTTTTGATATAGTCTTCATGGGGTGTCTGGGTGGCTCAGTCGTTAAGCGTCTGCCTTCGGCTCAGGTCATGATCCCAGGGTCCTGGGATCGAGCCCCGCATCAGGCTCCCTGCTCCTCGGGAAGCCTGCTTCTCCATCTCCCACTTCCCCTGCTTGTATTCCCTCTCTCGCTGTGTCTCTGTCAAATAAATAAATTTTTTTTTTTAAGATTTTATTTAAGAGAGAGAGCACACACACGTGCTCACATGAGTGTGGGGGAGGAGGGGCAGAGGGAGAAGCAGACTCCCCGCTAAGCAGGGAGCCCGATGCAGGGCTCCATACCAGCACATGGAGATCATGACCTGAGCCAAAGGCAGACACTTAACCGACTGAGCCACCCAGGCACCCCCTGACTGTAAATCTTTAATTATTAGAGTAGGAAATACATACTTACAAATTAGAGGGTTTAGGACCCCAGTGAGCTATACAGAAGCACATGGGAGGTCAGAAGATCAGATTCCTTCTTTTCTGAGACCAGCTGAACTACAGGATTCTAAGGGCATCCGTGGGGTGGGGGGGCGTTGTTCAGGTGGTGCAGAACACTGAGGCAGAATCCCTCCAACCTCTCCCACATGGATGGGGATGAGGAAGGTTGGCAATGGAGACCCTTGGAAGAAGGAAGACAAACCTCTTCTCTTCCTCATCCTTTTACTGCATGAGAACCCCTCCTTCCAGGATGTATACTGCATTATAGTAGGAGTTCGGTTACAGTATGCATGAAATAGGCTTCGGTGGGCTAGCCTCGCCCCCAACTATCATCTGTACCAGTGTTTCTCAGGACAAACAAATTCCGAGTTTTAAACAAATGCCTTACAGATGAACTTTTGGAAGCCATCCCGATTGTAGGTAGAAGATTGTTTATGTCACGTATGCAGTCTGTTAGCTTTCGTCTATGCGGTGGACAAAAGCTGTTCTACATAAAGAGCACCCACTGGAAAAAGACACAATTCTCCAGAGATAAGATGGTAGGGAGATTTAAACAACTCAGCATAAAATAAACAACAGGGCTTCATTGCACTCCAAGTGTTCTAGTCATACCTGGAAGTAAGTACTGTGTTTCTAAAGAAACACAATTCTTTTATTCCCCGGCCCTATGCGACGTTTTCCTAAACCAGGAGCACGACAGTATTGCCCATTCAAATAGTCTCAAAATCCAAATAATACATCATTCCCTGGACATTACACTGAAGCAAGAGGTCTCTCACTCCTAAGGTTAGAAGAAAATCCTCTTTCCAAATGCAAAATTTTCTGGAGAGAATACATTATATTAGTGACAGACTCTCAGTGTAATGAGACAGTGTATACGTCTGGCCCCCATTCAGCTGTGGATCTGTCTGGAATATCAGGAAACAATTTCCCAAAAGCAAATGACATGGCAACCCTAACTCAGTGCATTCTGGCAGAACTTTGCCTGTAAGTAAAAAGACCAGTGTTATTTCTAAGTCAAGAGTTGTGGGCTATTACAGGTAGTATAAAAATCCTATTAATGAAAGGGAGTCTAAAAACGATGGCCCAGGGGCACCTGGCTGGCTCAGTCGGTAGAAAATGCGACTCTTGATCTCGGGGTCATGAGTTTTGAGTCCCACACTGGGTGGAGAGAGGACTTAAAAAAATAAAAAGTAAAAAGGATGGCCCAGCCATTCTTGCCGTGGAACACCTCCCCCCCCCGCCCAATTACCTCAGACAATAACCCTTTATTCAATTCTTTAAGATCACTGGATTATAAAATGGAGAAGAATTAAGTAATAGAGCAATTTTTGATGTACTCTTCAAGTATATGTGAAAAATTCTGAAACTAAAGTCAGAAGATAGAGATAGGGCTAACAAGGCCAAAGTCTGAAAAATCACAGTTTTAGATAATATAGAAACATTTAGAAAAATAAAGAGAATACTACTCAACTAGATAAGATTTAAAATATTTTCTTAAAAATCAGAGTTTCAGAATGCTGACTATATTTAAACAATAAAAGTATAAATTTGGTTCTCATTTATAATTTTATTTTTATTTTAATTTTTTTAAAAAGGATTTTATTTATTTATTTGACAGAGGGAGACACAGCGAGAGAGGGAACACAAGCAGGGGGAGTGGGAGAGGGAGAAGCAGGCTTCCCGCGGAGCAGGGAGCCCGATGCAGGGCTCGATCCCAGGACCCTGGGATCATCACCTGAGCTGAAGGCAGACGCTTAATGACTGAGCCACCCAGGCCCCCCTTATTTATAATTTTAAATATATTTAAACATCAGTAGTCATAGTAATCCTCATCTTTTCACCATATTTTCATTGCTGAGGCACAGGTCCGTTTACCTTGTTATATCCCCAGGAGAGGATCCAAGTATGAAAGACATATTTATAGCCACCATTTTTACTATTAGATATGGAATTACCCTTTAGTCCCCCCAGTATAGATTTGTATAGCATTCCATATGGAATTAAAAGACTTCTTTGCGTATGTGTATACCATCTGAAATATTTTCACGGCCAGGGTATGCTGATGGTTGTATATGGTTGACCCTCTGACCACCCATACACAAGTCAATAGCAAGTAAAGTACGACAAATCATACAATCATTTTTTCATTTTCTTTGTTCTAAATGAAAATATGAAATACACTTTATTGGCTATAATTTGCAGTTACAGTTTAAATGACCCATTCTCTAAAGCGCCTGAGTTTTAAGATGGATAGATATTACCTTTTGTGTCTTTACCGGGTATCAAATTTGAGTGGGATTAGGGGGCATAAAGGAATGGAAGTTCACCTAGAAATCAAAACAAAAATTAAGCCAGCCCTTAGAAACCCCAGAGACAAGTAAGGGTTCTCAAGCATTCCTCCTTCTGAGGACTATGCATTCTGATGTTTCCATACCCCAGTTCTCACTCTCCTAAGTCTCTCTTCTGTGAGAAAAGACGTTTTATTTTGAAGGTTAAGTGTGCAAAGGGATCAGAGAAAATTTAAGATATGGGTGTGAGATACAAAATGCACATTATCCTCCAATCTCCGTCCCTACCTCCTTGTGTAACAAAACCTTCGATATTTTTCACTGGACACGTTGCTGCTCAGAGTTCCCAGCTTCCCAGAAAGTCGAGCGTGGCCACAGACACACTCTGTCCAATGAGATCTAAAGTGCGTGTCATTCGTGGGCTGTGCCTGCCCCTCCCCCTTGTGGCTGTTGGGGCGCAGATTCAGGGGAAGCTGCCTTGGGCTATGAGGACCACAGCCACACCCAGGATGGTGGAGCAACAGGGGTCTGTATCCCTCACAGTGTGGAGCTGAGCTGCCACACCGATTTGGGGCTTTCAACTGAGAGAGAGAAAATTCTATTTGTTTCAGCCACTCTTACTTTGGTATCCTGTCCCATTGCATCAAATGTATATACTCACGAATAGAGGGTGTCTGAAAGCTGATGCTTCAGAAAACCCCTGATAACAAACAGGAGATTCTTTGGTCTTCTTCAATCTTTTGTTAATGCTTCTGTTCAATCCTGCCTCATCCTCCAGGGTGCTAAATGCAGGCACCACCACTCCCCACTCTCAAAAAAAGCCTAGAAGTCAATTTTACTATTTATCTGGGAGAAGTGCTTTCTAAAGAAACAGACAGAAATGCCAATCCCTACGTCAGTGAAGAACCAGAGCAAGCAAAATAAAAGATGCTAGACAAATAACGTAGGTCCAGCTCAGAGATGGCGCCGTGGGCTTAGGAGTGGGCTTTCCTACGTGACCACGACACACCCGTGTGGTGGTGGTCGGCAGACAGGCAAGTAAGGAATGGGGGGGAACCGCCAAAATCAAAAACGTAAGCCATGAGCTTCTGCCAGTCTTTGGGTTTTCTTTTTCTGATTTGTACAATGAAAGCAGCTGGCCTGGTGACTGTAAAAAACATAAATAAAGATGTGAAACCTTTTCAAAAGTCTCATGTGTAAAAGATAATAAAGGTGTTGTGGGTGAAGTAGCAATAATCGTGATCATCTAGGAGCCAGACGCAGGGAGCCCTCACGGTGTCGTGGGCCCTGGGACGCCCACACTGACCATGGCGCTGAAGCCTCAACGGCCATTCATCTAAACTGATGTGACCCGGGGCACCCGGGTGACTCAGTCATTAAGCATCTGCCTTCGGCTCAGGTCGTGATCCCGGGATCCTGGGATCGAGCCCCGCATAGGGTTCCCTGCTCGGCGGGAAGCCTGCTTCTCCCTCTCCCACTCCCCCTGCTTGTGTTCCCTCTCTCGCTGTGTCTCTCTCTGTCAAATAAATAAATAAAATCTTTAAAAAATAATTAAAAAAATAAATAAAATGATGTGACTGTTGTACTGGAACCATACCCAAGGCCTTATCTTCTGACAGTGATTTGCTCATAAGAGTGCTTGTAAAGCATCCATAAAAATTCTCTGGTCAGACTTCCAAACATTTCATGTGGAAAGATAGTTGTGAAAAAAAAATAGAGGCTAAAAACCCTTTGCTTCTTAAAACCTCTTTTTAAATCTAGTCACTGGTTTTAAAAATAGGAAATTACACCAGTTCAGTCATCCTGTAGCCTTGGTGGATAAATCTAATAAAAAGGGTCAGTGTAGTATATTTTGAAAGCAGTTTTTTTCCAAAAATTCTACAGGGCAGTATGATATATGGTTAACAGATTTCTGTATCAGTTCTCAGTGGGTGTTTGGATTGAGGTTGGCCATTTCTCAGTAATAATGTGGCAATATTTAAGTAGGTTTACTAAAAAGACAACAACTCTAAGAGCTGAGCCATTTAATTCATCCCTTAACCACCATAAAAGATGTTTTGGATGAATGATGGTCAACTGAGGCATGGTGACTAATGGATTGTGCTTTTCTTTCTTTCTTCCTTCCTTTACTTCCTTTCCTTCCTTCTTTCTTTCTTCCTTCCTTTACTTCCTTTCCTTCCTTCTTTCTTTCTTCCTTTCTCTGTCTCTTTCTTTCTTCCCTTCCTTCCTTCCCCCCCTTCCTTCCTTCTTTAAAGATTTTATTTATTTATTTGAGAGAGAGAGAGAGAGAGAGCACAGAGGGAGAGGGAGAAGCAGGTACCCCGCTGAGCAGGGAGCCCGATGAGGGGCTTGATCCCAGGACCCCAGGACCCCAGGAGACACTTAACTGACTGAACCACCCAGGTGCCCCTGTGCTGTGCTCTCGTGAGAGAGAAAGATGGGGGTAGGTGATAAAGCAACTGGAAGGACACAGGCATGGGCAGTAAAAGCCATCGCATTTACCTTGTTTGTTGTGAAGGACAAAATCTGAGGAGTGTTGTTGTTCTAAATAACACAACCAACATCTCTATGCACATTTTCCTTGCAGCCTTTTCCTTCTTTTGTTCCTACATTCTCTTTGCATGCTTTCAAGAAATCATGAGAAGTCAGTGCCTCATTCAGACAAAAGTAAAACAGTAAGCCCGAAGACCAAAGTGCTACCCTCACTGCTAAAAAAATGTTAGTGGGGAGAGAAGTGACTGGCATCTCTAAGACATTTTTACATCACTGAATGTTTGGACAATGTTCTCTGCCCACATAGTGCCATGGAGTCCACCAATTTCAATCAGGGTTAAAAAAAAAAAATGGAGTGTGGCAGTGCCCACAGACCGGCACAGAGAGCGGATAGGATGGGTCTGCAGTGTCCCCTCCGGCGTTGCTTCTTGGAGGGCGGTGTCATCTCAGTCATCAAGGCACTGGGCACTACACTGGGGTGTCCAGGTCTCAAGGCCTGACACTTCATCAGACTCTTAAAAACTGAGTTAGGGCTCTGGTAGGAAGTACAGACTCTACCCAATGTGTTATGTGGCACAAAAACCTTAGAGCTTTAAGTGTCCAAAATGATACTGGTGGAACATTAAAAAAAAAAAAAAAAGAAGAAGGCAGCCTGTAGACTTTATTATATAATGTGATCTCAACTATATAAAACTCTGCCAGGAAAAACCTGGAAGGAAATGTAGCAAAATAGTAAAAGTTTTCTCTTCTTGTTAAGAGTAGAAGCATTGGTAGGGATGCCTGGGTGGCTCAGTTGGTTGGTTAAGCATCTGACTCTCAGTTTTGACTAGGGTCATGATCTCAGGGTCCTAGGACTCATCCCCACAATGGGCTCCATGCTCAGCTGGGAATCTGCTTAAGGATTCTCTCCCTCTGCTCCTCTTCCTGCTTGCACTCTCTCTCTCAAATAAATAAAATCTTAAAAAAAGAAAAAGAGTAGAAGCACTGGTTAGCTTCTCTATAGTTTTCTGTATTTCTTTAATTTTCTACAATGAGCATTAGAGAAACATATTTTTCCCTGTAACAAAAAGATAGAGGGGAAGAGATATTTGGTTATGATAGAGATAACTAGACTCCTGACTAATCTATTTCTTTTGTTAAAGATTTATTTATTTGAGAGACAGTGCACGCAAGCAAGCACGTGCATGGGGTGGGAGAGGGAGAGAGAGCCTTAAGCAGACTCTGCGCTGAGCATGGAGCCCGACATGGGGCTTGATCTCAGGACCCTGACTAATCTATTTCTTAACATCAAATGCAATGAAACGAATCTGTATTATGGATCTAATTTATTCACTCTAAGCTAATTCCTTTAGATTAGGACTTTCTTAGACAGAAAATTCCATCTACTTATGATGACATACTTCTCATCAAGGGTACTTTAGCCAATCGTACTGCCCTTGCCTGTATGTGGTATGACTTTTAAGGTAATGACAATAAACTTTTAAAAACAAGCAAAATAACTAGGTCTTGGGATTAAGGATGACTTTAATCAGTGCAACATAAATTAGTATTTCCCTTAAGGTAGTCACTTAAGGAAACCATTCTTCCATTGGTATTGACATTTCTCAAAGTATTTTTTTTGGAGCTTTCTGTGGTACTGCTCAGGAAAAGCATTCTGTTACTTCAATCACTCTCTATTTTTGACCAAAAATGGTTTTACCAGTTTGATACCTCAGTTACCTGACTTAACTTCAAGTGGCTTTTGGCCTGTCCTAAAAAAACAAATCTGTTCTCAAAGGATAAAGATCCCCTAACACTGAGATTTAAAAAAAAATAATGCCACAGACTTTTTGAAAATCATTCTGAAACAAGGTCCTCCAACCATATTTTGAGTATTAACAGCATTCTCACAATACCTGACTGACCTCCCCTGTCCAAGACAACTACTCTGTGGCAGCCAGTGTGTTGGGGGGAGGAAAAGGGATCCTTTATGGATTAATGGAAAGCCTAGATAAAGACTATGGAATGGACTGATTTCATATTCCAGTAAAAACTAACAAAAGCCTTGTAGAAGGCATAGGTTCTGAAGTATAATAGAGAAATGAAAAGCCATCAGTAATTGCTTTGGTCTGGTCAGCAGGGGCAGAACCCCAGGCTGGAGACCCCAGGGACTCCTTCCTGTAGAACAATGTTCATAAAAGATATGACTACACTTTCTTCTCTCTCCGTTTGCCGTGTTCGTCATCAACACTGGCTTCACATTAGAATCACCTGGGGAGCTTTATAAAAAATGCCAGTTGGCTGGCAACCTTCAGACAATGGAATCTGAATCTCAGAAGACAGAGCATGGTATAGATCTGTGGGGGTTGTATGTGTCTATACTGTTTATTTTTTCCTTCCGTTCTTTCCCTCCCTTCCCCACCTCCAGGTCCCAGGTGATTCAGATGCACTGAAGCATGATAAGGGGTGGGAACCATGGGCAGCTGGTCCAGATGAAGATCATGGCTTCTGTCTACAGAGCTCATCTCAGTTGACTGACAAAATGAGCTCCTAAACAACACACTGCATTTCATCACCTCATACGATGATTTGTAAAAACAAAAATTAAGAAATATTGCCACGTCCATACATATAGTCTTAGAAAATAGTATTTTAACATATGGAATAAGAAGCATACAGTTTCTAGTTGACTGACCACATACATGATGAAAACACTTGTAAAGGCACAAATGACGAAATCACAGCAGAGCCTAGTCATTAGCGGTGATTCTAGGTTCTTCTTTTGGCGTATCTGTAGATTGGAAATTTTCCACAATGAATATGTCTCACCTTTGTGATACCTACTCTCGTGCTGGCCTATTGACTTAAGAAATAAAGACCACATACCAGCAGTATCTTGGGCAGTCACGTCCACGCCATGTGTCACCATGACCCTGAGGCATTCCACATGCCCTTTCGTAGCAGCAAGATGAAAGCTGAAAAAGAGGTAAACACAATTGCCTTAAGATTTCCACTCTTTGGAGTTCATCTCCAATGATGCTTTTTGCCTCTTCATGTACACTTTCCCTCACTTAAGCTCCACGACCTGAGGAGGTATTATTAGCAACCTCGTTTTAACGATGAGGAAGCTGAGGCTCCAAGTGGTCTGATAATTTGCTCATTGACACTTTTTATTAAGTAATGGAGTGGGAGCTAGATCTTAGGTTTTCCAACCTACAGACCAGGCTTGAAAGAGGTAAGATCCAACTACATCATTCATCTCTTTAAGAAACAAGAGTGCCCAAAATAGAATCAGTTCCTAAATAATAAGTAATTTATCAATTTTTTTCTGTTGTCTAGGGCTTTCACCAAAGCCATTATTTCTAAGTAACTTACTCTATAAAGAGAAGTCTAAGTCAAACAACGGTCACGGTTCTTGGACAACATCAGTGTCAAATGCACTGTTGTGTTGTAGCAGAATAACAGTAGTTGTACACAACTTTTGTTAGTGGCTAGTGTGTGCCAACCATCTTCTCACTTTTATACGTCATTTCTTTTCATTCTCATAATAGCTTTTGGAGGTGAATCCTATCACTGTCTCCATTAGATGGCAGGTGTCTACACCCGGTCAGGTACAAACAGCATTAAGGAAAGCCCACAATTGGGCTCCAGGATTCCCTGACACTGGGGAGATCAAACCATGCTTGGCATGTATAGACTTGCCATTAGATGAAGGGATGACATCCAAATGCCATACCAATCATCCTTGGGGATCCCAAGGGTAAAGGGCACTTCTGTGGGCAGAAGTAAAGCACAATTCCACTGGGCATTCAGGCCCAGAGGCTGAGAAGGCCAAAAACCTTGGGAAAGTCTCCTTCCTATAGAGGGAGGTTAATGAGCCTTCCATTTCTTTCCCTGCCTCGGTTCTATTTGTGGGAGTTGCTTTCTCAGGATACTTGCCATGCGGCATCTTACCTGTGAATTAACACCCAGGTTATGTTTTTTTCACAGGACAGGACTTATAACTGGGGTCCAGGGTCACACCCAAATAGCAAATCCAAGACCTACACCAATTCAAACCCCACTCCTCTGCTCTGAAGCATGAGGCTGAGTGAAGGTGGACAGATCAGCAAAGGAGGACACGTCAGGTCTGGTTGCAAATCAGCCATACCTTAGCTCTGTATCTTTGGGAAGTCAACTTACCTCTCTGAGCCTAAATTTCCTTTATTGTAAAATGTGGGGATTGCGTCAGAGGATATCTGATGTTTCCTCCAGCTCTAACAACCTTGTTATTTTGGCTTAATTGGCTCTAATCACACCAACTATTTCTGCATTTGTGCATCCATTTATGTGTCATGTTTCCTTACGGCCAAACTGACTTTGTGGGTGATTCCACAGTACGGTCAAAATTGGATCATATGGAGTGACTTGGGAACGTGGTAACTTGTATAAATGGAATTTCTGGTTAAATACAACTCAACTAAAAGGACCTCCATAAAGGCAGTATAATATTACCTCTGCTTTCAGCATTGTTGGGCTAAACTAATTTACAGTAAGTGAAGTTCACCTTTAAGCAGCAAAGTTTCTTTTAACTGATCTGGCTGGAAGGTTTCTGAAATTTTTTCGGCATTAGTAACAGTGCATGTTACATAATTTAATTGCCCTTGATGACATGAAGTCACCACTAAGAGCCTCAATTATTGACCTCTGCCTTCAAGGCTATTAATCTAAAAGCCCCAGATTATTAAGCCCTAATATTCATTCATATTTATCTTCTTTTCTTAATGTCTGTGTGTTTGCTTCTAAGATGTTCACTCTGCCATCTTCTATGACCAGAGGAGAACTAAATCAAAACTATCTGGACAAGACAGCCCTATCCTATGCCAAAGATAAAAGTACCAAGATTAGTAATTAGCATGCATATACGCGCGTGCGCGCGCACGCACACACACACACACACACACACGTGTATAGATATATAACTTCTGGTTAAAGTACAACGTATATAAAGAAAACTTCACATATCACAATTATATAGCCTGCCCAATTTCCACAAATGGAACATACCCACTTTACCTTCATATAAGGAAACAGGACCTGGCCAGAGACCCAAAAGGCCTCCTTGTATCTCCTACTAGCACTCCAGAAAGCTCTCCAGGTTTCCCTTCTAGTTACTAACCCCTCAGTGCATGCATTATTTGTATTTTTTCTACTCTGAGGCTCCTTGGAGTGTCTCTGGGTTACACACATTTCCGGGGGTTGAAATTGCAGACACACATGATAAGGAAGCATTATTGTAAGTTACTGCTGTACACTGATAGATGGAGTCTGACAAATGTGTAATGCTATTCTATGGGTAGGGTTTCAGGATCTTTATTTAGAACATTAACAAGAATTGTAACAACAAGAATTGTAACAAGGCAGAAAAACTGAGGTGTTAGGAAGTTGGGTTCAAAATCCAATCCTATGACAGAACCTTTCTTAGACATTTCCTTTTTAAAATAAAAGCCCTTCGGGGCACCTGGGTGGCTCAGTTGTTAAGCATCTGCCTTCGGCTCAGGTCATGATCCCAGGGTCCTGGGACTGAGCCCCGCATCAGGCTCCCTGCTCCGCGGGAAGCCTGCTTCTCCCTCTCCCACTCCCCCTGTTTGTGTTCCCTCTCTCGCTATGTCTCTGTCAAATAAATAAAATCTTTCAAAAAAAATTAAAAAATAAATAAAAGCCCTTCTATCAACCCATTTTTGATGGCTATAACACATTTTATTGAGGGCTCCAGTTAGTTAAGGTTTCACTGCATATGCTTTAATAAGCTGTGTGTGTGTGTGTGTGTGTGTGTGTGTGTGTGTGTGTGGCTTCGTTTACCCTCTCTCATTACAGTTTGGATCAGGGAATAACTTTTTCCCCTCCATCTCTTCTCCTGCAGAATACTGGGTTCTACTGAGAAAATAGAACAATGAGAGTCCTTTCACAATTTTATCTTCATATATGACCTAAAATTTCAGCACTCACCCGTTACAGATAAAATGAACCAAGTACAAATAATTAGAAATAGCAGATTATATAAGGACAGATATTCATGCTTGTACTTTTCTATTGCATGTTTTTAGCTGGTAAAATCATTCTTAATTATTGTGATTCAATTAAATATATCATGATTTCAAGGTGTTTCTCAGAGAAAGGGGATGAGCATGAAAAGCAGAAAAGGGAAGAATTGATCATTTTAGCCAGAAGTTTCTAATTCATTTTTCCAGACAGACAAGGAATTCCACTATGTATCATCATTCTGATTTTGTATTTCCAGGAAATGCACACAAAGCCAAGAAACATGACATGTAAGTTTGCTCTTAGGAAATATTTACTACTGCTGTGCATCATCTGTTTGCCCCTCCAGATTTGCCTTCCACTTTTATCCCCTGGGTCAGTGGCCCCAGCAGCAGACCTTTTATGAACTGCATCCAATGGGCTGTCTTATCCTCTGCCTTCTGGTTGAGTTCCACTAATGGGAGGCACTTACAAGAGATAGGAGGATGAGAAGAGAGAGTTCAGGGCATTATCCTCTCTACTCCTTCCCTGCCAGGCCACACACTGGCCGTCATGGCCTTCCTCTACTTCCTCTATGAAGTTCACGGCTCTGGGGGCCAGTTGCCCCAAAGCTACAGCTGCAGCTCTCTCTAGGTTTTGGGACCTACTCTCTCTCTATGCTCCTTTAGGTTGGGAGGGCAGGGGCACGAAGGAGGGGAAAGAATGTTGAAACAGATTCCCACTGTTACTGGTCCAGGGCTGCTTTCCCAACCCTGCTGGTTTAATCCTGACCACAAATCCGTAAATAGTTCCTTTCCTAAAGGGTCATCAATGATCCTACCTGAGGGTGCTGTCTCCTACTGGGACCTTGAATGATACCAGTGACACCAGGGTATTCTGTGTGTGGTCATCCTCAGGATGAACTGTTAGGTTCCTCTGGATATTATCTGATTAAATATTTACAAGGGCAAATTTGGGCTTTTAAAAAAATGTTTCACCCCACATGTAATTAACTACTCAAGATATTTGGGCATTTTGGCTAAAATGCTTTGATGGGAGAATGTGCCAAATTACTTTGGTTATGCAGAATATGATATGGGACTTTAAAAGAGTTTTCAAATATAATGTTAGGCCAAAGTAGGAATCATTTTAAAAGGTTCAAGAATACACCTCTCAAAGCATCAGAGAAACAATGGACTTGAGTGAAAGCCACATGCAGTCCAGAATACTCCACCATGCAATAAAGAAATGTTAAAATTCAGATTTTAAACTGGACTTGGTCTTGAAAGAATAACTAATACCTTATCCACAACACATATGAACACATACAGTTGTACATGCTACAGCTAGGTTCTCAAACTGGGAAAGCCTTCATAAGTTCTATGAACATATCCTGTGGAATAACAAGGTTCTTCAGTAGTGAATTGGAAGTAAAAGGTTTAGTAAAATCTTCAATACCACATTCTATACTCTCTCTGTATATATTCTATATAGGACTCTATACAATATATACTACTCTATACTACACAATAAAATAATTTATGCGCTAGATTTAGAAAGAGGAAATATAACCATCGAGACATGTAGTTATTTTGGTATCTACTGACCCCTCTAACTCCTTAAAATAACCTATCTTTTATCTAATGTGTCATTGCCATAGAATTTGTCAGAAAATCACTTTACTACCTAACTTGGGACAGAGGGTCTGTAATGTGAGTTTGCTAAACCATCTACCACATAAAAGAAAACCAAAATGATCAGTGTACTGATTTAGCTTTGTTTTATTTTATTTTTTATTTTTATTAGCAATCTCTATGCCCAACACGGGGCTTGAACTCACCACCTTCACCAAGACCAACAGTCACTTGCTCTACCGACTAAGCTAGCCAGGTGCCCCTAGCTTTGTCTTGTTTTTATGCAAGCTGTACAAATGCAAGAGAAATAAGGCACAGATTGGACAATGACATGACTTTGT